AATGTTGACTTCACTTTAATTCGTAATGAATTGAAGACAGAAGAAATGCATTTTACCTTAATACACACATCTGTAACAGTATCCGAAATCGGAAGTCATCAGTTGCAAGTTTGTTGATAATAGAAATTAAAAATTATTGAGGAATTTTTCTTCAAATGTTTGGCGTGTTCTGTTCCTGAAAGATTTACTAATATTCTGGAGATTTTTTTCAAGTTCTTCGGCCTTTTCCTTAGGGAAATTTTGTTTCTTATTTGCTGCTAAAAAATGGCGTCTGATTCAGTCAATGACTTTGATGGAACTAAATGAAAATGTGATAAACTAATGTCCGATATTTACAGGCTCCCGCTAGACGGCGTACTCGAGCGTTGCGATCGCGAATAGGAATTGCTAGTACGATTTTTAAACAGCGTAAAAAAAGTCGCAACACATAAGTTTTAAATAAGTTAAATACGAAAATCGATGATTGACATTAAAATCGTCTGATTAAAAATCGCGATTTTAGCATATTCCAGCGCAATTCCTAATATTTAAAATTCCGAAAATCAGCCAAACGAAAAAAAAAATCATATATCGGTTATCGAAACGAAACACTTAGACTCCTTTCCACTCTATAGCGGAAGTCGCGGGAATCCGACTATCGTTCCGGCGGCTTGGGTTTCTCTAATTGGACTCCCTAAAAATTTTAGTTTTTGGAACATGGTCGAAAATTTTAAAAATTGGGAGAAAAAAGCGGATTTCCGCTTTTTCGTGGAAGACTTTCATCCCTTGGAGACGTGAACGGCAAAATGATCTCCAATGACTCACGGCAATGCGGATTAATATTTGAAACTGAATTCAGGTTTGCCAAATTTTGGACGTTTTGTCTCAGATTGGCGCAGCTTTGGCAGAAACTGAGCTGAATGTCGCAAAATGGCGCAGTTATGCCGTTTTGTCTCAGTTTGTCGCAAATGGCGCAGGCGTAGCATCCCTGTAACTGCAAAAATTAAAAGGAAAATTCTCATTAACTATATACCATTACTGTGCATTTCAGTTCTTTGAATCAAATATGAAAATTGATCAAGGAAGCAAATAAATGAAATTAAAATTCTGGCCAACACAGGGCTTGAAGTCAGAAAATAGTAAACAAAAGACACATGCGTTTCCTCATTGCGCTACTGAAACATGCTGCTGCAATATTTTCCTCTGTGCTATACAACATAAAATGTTTATGAGAGTAACTTAGGTACCATTAAAGTGACTAAAGAACATATTCAAATTCAGTCCCTTAAAATCTATATGCATATAAAAAATTGTTTTGATATCAAAATTTAGGCAGAAAAACAATCTACTAAAATTCTTAAGAAAAAGTTAAACTTACATTGATATTTTAGATGCGTTATAAATGCTTTTTAAAAACATATTTGCATGAATATATCTGATATAAATGTGACTATGAGTATCAATGCTAGAAAGGTCAAAATAAATACAACACAACAAAGGTAAAAACAATTTTTAATGACAAAAAATGGGATGAACAATTAAAAATTAAGTAGATCAATTAATATTGACAGTCAAATTTAAATGGAATCTGATGTTATGAAATAACACGTCATGTAGAAATGAAAGATCGACACATTATTATGTAAACTTAATAACTTTAGTCCTGTAAAGATTGGAAGTTGATAAAAATAAATATTTCAACAACAATGTATAAATGGAAAAGTTTAAAAAAAAAGAAAAATTTAGATTAACTTAAGTAATTTATCACAGAAAGTAATCTAATAATCTCAACATAAAAGTTACTTATAACAAGATAAAAAAGAAGAATGACAAAATAATAAGCTCGAAAAACTCATGTACACATTTTTAGCACAATATATGTACATACATACAATATTTACTTATAAACATTAGATTACAATACATAATTTCTTTAGGAATGTCAATTTTTACAATCAATTAAAACATAAATTTACAACTAAGGTATAAAAAGAAATAAAAAAGTTGCCTGTAATTGAGACTTTTCTTTAATACTTTTCATATAAAAAATTTTTTTTAAGCTAATCAAATTAAGCATTTCCACACTCAGTTATGGTTAACATAGTTCACTGCGATAACAAATTATTCTACGAGTAGCACCATCGATTTATACTAAATGCAATAAAAATGTTGATATAAATATAAAAATGAAGAAATAACGATGTATATATATATATATTAACTAATTAATATATATATATAAAAGAAAACTTAAAAATAATAACAGCAGAGATGAAACATGTGAATAAATGGGGGGAGTATTTTAGAGTAATACTTTTTAATAGTATGATTCACAGCTGCAAATACTGATTAAGTAAGTATTTAATCAGAACTATTTAGACAAAACAAGGCTAATAACTAATAATGGTTCTGTACACACACAAAATTAAAAAATCAAAGTTCTTAAAAGTAAAATATTAGCAGGAAAGAAGACTTTGATTAGTTAATACATTGAAACTAAACGTTTGATGAGTTAATTAAAATCAGATCTTTCTACATTTAACGCATCAAAAGTAAATGAAGTAGACATACAGGGTGTCCGAAATTTATGGAACAGTCAAATATCTTACGAAGCACACATCAAATCAAACTTTTAAAATATACATAAGAAATAATTACATAATATTAAAAAGGAATCCCCATATTTTAATGCAGATTTGGATTTTCCAGAAAAAAGTACACCAATTTGATCTATATTTTGGCATTCGGGAGACAGATAGCACTGTAATCACAAAATGAAAATCATTAATAATTGTTTACAATGGAGATATCTTTAGACCTTCCAGCCTCAGAGGGATCACAAGAAAATTTTTCAAAATATCAAACAAGACTATTTTTATTTTGATCAGTCATATATTTCTATTTGAAACAATTTGTACTCATTTTCTTTTTGTCATTACTGCACCGTCTGTAAAATAGAGGGTAAAAATATTATAATTCAAGTAAGGATACTTTTTTCTTGAAAATCCAAATCCGCTATAAATAATGGCAGTTTTTAATAAAGATTTTAAAGTTACTCCTTACACCATCCCTAGGTTTGGAATGGAGTCATTGAACATATCTTATGAAATTTTTTCAAATGAATATTTTTTGATCTCATGTGCATTTTCTGAGGTGTTTGTTGATTTCTACACTTTTCAGACACCAATTGAATTTTGCAGTTAAAGTAAGGCAGTTAATGCTTTTTCTACCAAAGTTTTGATAACTGGTTGCATTTTTTTTTTACGTTTACAACTACAGAAAATATGCAAAAAAGGCAGTTGTAAATGCTATTAATGTTAATTCAAATAGTGTTCTATTTCCAGGATTTGAACAGCATTTCAATATGATTTTACTCATTATATATGAAAAGAGAATGATATTTAAATAATGTTGTTAAAAGAGAAAACAACCAAATAAGTTTCAATGTCAAAAGCAAATCAGTTTTTAATATAATGATATTAGTGAAAGCAGGCATGGGTAATAAAAGAACCACAAGCCGGTTTCTCCAATAAAATTTTAAAAGAAAAACGACAGCATTTAATTTATTTTAAAAGATGCAAGCCATTGCTGGATATGAACATACATTAATTGATGTAAGAAATAAAAATTTGTATAAAACAATTCCTTTGGAATGTGTTTTTCAACATTGGGAGAGAGAGAATAGTTGACTTTATTTAAAAGATTCTCTTGAATAATATTAAAAACTGAATAGTTGGCCTGTTTGAAAAAGCCTATATGCAAAATTTTTCCTTTTTTCATAAAAGTTGCATTCTTGGTTTTCAATCTATGATTTTCCTTCAATTCTTAAATAAAAATTCCCTTTTAGAATTAGGTACATGGCTTTTTTATCAATGCTAATTCTATACCCACATTAAATTAAAAAAAAATAAATCGCACCTGAAGGCAAATTCTTTTAGGTTAATAAAAAATCAAAATGTGATGAATTGATCGAATCATTAATATATTTCCTAAACTAAAGTAATAAACTTTGAGAAAAAATTCATTAAGTCCAAATGTTTAATTGAACGTAGCTCTCATAAAACTAGTCTATATTAAGAAACCTTGATTAATATAAAATAAAATTGCCAGACAAAAGGAACATGAATGATCCACTAAGTTTATTTTTCCTAATGAACATAAGTTTAGGCCTAAAAAAAAAACTATTTCTAAATTTTTATAATCGATTTTGTAACAGATCTCAACAAGATAGAAGAGAAAAAGATAAAATATATGTTAAATATAAAGGTCCTCATATTTAAAAGTGAACTTTGAGATTCTCACTCATAAAATAAATACTTATTTTGTATATTTTATAATTAGTTCTTCACAATAAGCATAACAGCATGTTTTAAGTTTCTCTTAACAACTAAACATTTGTCATAATCTATGAAAATTGAACAGTATTAAAAACATCAAGCGAGGAACAAAATCAAAACATACAACAGTAACAACTATTTGAGCAATATTTATAATATACAAGTATAAATTAATCTTCTATAGTAAATGGTACAAAGGACAGATTTAAACTTGCGTCCACTGCTCCGATGGAATTTCTTCAGGATTTGGAGACTGCAATGCAAAATCTTGATGTTTCTCAGCTTCTTTCTGCTTTGAAACTAAAAATAAAAAGTGAGGTAAATGCAAGCTAGAAAAGGTCAAGTTGAATATACATTAAATATTTCATATAACGCATTCATTATAGCATTATTATTATATTGATTTTCATAATACAGTACACTCTCGATTATCGGTGCGCGGATTATCCGGTTTGCGGTTTATCCGTGTTCCTTTCGGAGTCACAAATTTTTTTTTTAAAGACAAACATTTTCAAGATTATCATGCATGTAAAATATACGTTGATATGAATAGAAATCTTGTCAAATCAGTCTCGCCATTCATTCATTAACAGAATATGAATCTAATGTTTTTTATTGATAATAATCGCTGCAATAGTAAGTTATGAAGTTATAACACTTTTTGAAAGCAATATTCATTATTGGATGCAGTATATTAGCAGCATGGTCAAAGGTAAAATCGTCTACGTTATCACGATCGGGGAGAAAGATCATACCGCTTGATCTTCTTATATTGAAGAATATGATAACAGTATTTTTGAACAAAGAAAAGAAATTGTAGGTTTAGAAATTCTTGATGAAGAAAATTTAGAAGATTCGTTTCAAAGTGATGTATGTGAGCTTGACTTCCAGTATTTAACAGATGAGGAAATTGTTACTAACTGTGTTGTTAAATCAAATAGTGATGATAGTACTGATGCAGAAGATGTAATAAATAAGGGAAATACAATTCCTGATTCTGCTGCTCTACAATCTGCGGAAACTTTATTAGATAGATTATATGGGAGAACGAGGATTTGGTTACGGTGACGTTACTACGGTACGTAAAATATGTGACAATATATGGCAAGAGATGAACAAACAGCAGAAGCAAAGACGCATTACACATTTTTTTAAGCAGTAAATGTTAAATTCCTAATTTGATGTTATACAGCATGCAAATGTAAGTAATTTTGATATTTTTTGTACTGATGTTAATTTTTTCTTTAATAAAAAGGAGTTTTCGGATTATCCGTGTGACCCGTCCCGGTGATTAACCCGGATAATCGGGAGTGAACTGTATTTCATAAAATTAAGGCGTGTCTCAAGAAAATGCAATCACATTAAAAAATGTGCCAGAAGTTAAAAAAATGTTAATGAACACTGAGAATGAAATAAATATTAATCAATCAAAAGAATTAATAAAAAATATAGCAAAAGCTTTTTCACAATATATTCTTTTAACAATTATTATAATTCATAGTACAAGCAAGCATAGACAGATATTGGATGCTAGGTGATATAAAAATCTATAACATTAAATCTATTAAAAATACAGAATGCCTAGAAAAATTAGTCAACTATAAAACATATGTTATAAGGATTTATTTAGTGTGGTGTTATTTTTATAGTACAATTACTGAAATTGGGATGAGTAAAAAATACTATAACATAGTGAAAATAAGTTTCCTTTTTATCCATTTTACTGCTATGACCTGTTTGAGGATATCCAAGAATGATTTTCAAAAAGATATGCTACATTGATAAATGATGCAGGAATTCATAGTGGCTTTTTGAAATAAATATTTGCTAACCTAAATAAGTCTTCAAAAGATAAATTTTTATAACATTCATGGCAAAATTTGTGCTTGTTTAGAATTAATTACTTTTTTCTACATAAAAATAGTTCAGTTCACCATGGTATGAATAATTTATTTTGTTCTATATGAATTAAATAGTTAAAAACTTTATAAGAACACAGTTATATTTTAAAGGTTTACTACTGGTAACCATTAAAAATATTTTTAATATAAAGAACTCACAAATAATATCAGATGTATGTTAATTTTTACAAAGTAAACACAATCACTGAACTACTTTATAGTAATTTTAAAAATCAATAAAATGGAAACTTTTAGAAACACATCAAAGTGATGCACTTTTATTGAATGTGGAACATAAACAAAAAAAAAAAAAAAACTAAAAAAAAAAAAAAAAATCAAAGAATGAGATAAAAGATTCATTTATGAAAATTTCTCACCTTTTGAACCACTATTTGTAGAATTATTGGAACTTGAACTACAACTTTGTACATCTTTTCCAGAAAACTAAAAGAAAGGAGAAAAAGTGACATATTTCAGAATTTGATTTTAATATGTATGAATAGGTATTTTTAGAAACGAAAGGGTTGTTGCTAACATGCTATAGAGCATCAAATTCTCAAAATGAATTCGATGCAACAAAAAAAACTTAACAGATCTAAACATCCTGGGGAGAACAAAACTTTTTCTTTTAAATATTTTCAATTTGATAGCACCAAATGTTGCTCTGTTCATAAATTTCTTTGTCATCTTCACTTAGTGATGCAAAAACAACCTCTTATCAGTTCTCCTCTAACCAGTGGTTAGAAAAACTACATTTTTTTAAAAGTTAATTACAAATGAAACTAATTATAAATACTTTTGAAATGCAGTTTCTACTCAACTACCTTTAGAAGAGAGTATATATGATGTAAGATTCTTTTTAATTTGTTTCAAGAAATGGTAGAAAATTATCAGATATTTGTGATTTTGTTAGGTGTTTAAAGCTTAAGTTAACTGAAGAAAAAAAAATAAGTTAAGTACATTGCTGACACACTCAATAAGACTGCTGATGCTCTTGTATAAGATTAGAACCTATCAGATTCCGAAAACTAGTTGCAATAGAACATTGTTTCTCAACGGGGGCGATATCCTCCCCCTTGGAGGTGGTGGGAGTATGCTGAGGCATACTAGCAACCTCATCAGAAAAATGTGATGATGGTTAATAGCCTTTTATAATATATCAAAATTAATTGCTAAATATGGGAAAGATTTGTCTTAGATTAGATAATCTGTCAAAGATTTGATACTGTCGGTTGTCAAAGAAGATTCAGAAACAGTTTTACACCATCCAATCGTATCCAATTTAATAAAAAACATCCCATAAAGATACAATGCAGTGCGGCGACAAATCAATGAGATGGATGTAAACTTTTGATATTTAACAGATTTTCCCTTCAAGTTAATGAATCAACATTGCCAAGTATTGCAGGCTTTACTGTTGGCGTACATCTGGTTTGTGAAGGAAATCAAAATTATTGAGAAGATGCTTTTACTTGATTGTAGATAACAAAGGTAAATCTGTTTTTAATACTGTCAAGAATTATTTAAAACAGAAAAACATTTCTCTTGCAAATATTATGTCTGTTGTCGCTGATGGAGCTCCTGCAATAGTGGGTCAACATAATGGGTTTATCTCCGTTTTGAAGAGGGAGGTACCAGATATTTTAGCTGTTCACTGCATGATTCATGGACAGCATTTAGTAGGAAAAAACATCAGTGACCGTTTGCATCAGTCATTGCAATATGTCATATCTGCTGTGAACAAAATTCACAGTAATACTCTCAACAATTGATTATTCAGGCAGATGTGTAAGAAAAAGGATGAAGAATATCGCTTGCTTACACACCGAGATTCGCTGGCTTTCCAAAGGTGTCTGTGTCAATAGGTTTTGGAATCTTTTCGACTCTGTGCTTGAGTTCCTCGAAGACAAAGATGTAGCTCTCAAAGACAGATTGCTCAAATTTAAGATAGACGTTGGCTAGAATTATTTGCAAAATTTAATGCCGTCAATTTACAACTTCAAGATAAAGACCTATCTTTCTAAAAAAAAAACGCATTTGGTCGAAACAGAATTTTGGTAGGAATGAGTTCAGCCAATTTTCAATCTTATGGTATCTTTAAAAAAATAGAGAAATTCCCTCCGATGATACACAAGAATATTGTCAACAGCTTAACTCTTTGCAGACAGATTTTAATTGCCTTCCCTTCCCCCTACCATGTCGAACGTGGATTCAGTGCTGCTACAGATCTAGTCAGTCACAAAAAAGAAAATCGACTTAAAGAGGGGGCTTGCGTCTTCACCTCACTAAAAATACTGAATCTAACATTAAGAAACTGGTTCTGAACCATCAAGTACAATTATCCCACTGACATAGTTATTTGATTGTTTCATTGATACCAAAACAAACTACTCTTTTTAAGCTTAATTTTCTTTGTTGATTTTTTTTTATTACCATACTTATTTTGATTATGACAAATAGACTGTGATCACCTGCCGGGAAAAAAGTATTGAGTTAATGTACACATTAATTTTTTAAAAGAAACCAAATAAATTTAACGCATAATAAAATTGCTTAAAAATGTTGTCTCTTATAATTCAGCATGCACCCTCTGTCCCCATGCTCAGAAATCGGGACGTTGAAATATTTTCTGCTCCTTAATGAGACGGCAACTTTAAAAAGGTTGAGAATCTATGTGCTAGAACCTTGCTTCTTTAAACTAACATTAAAAGTAGTTACAAGGAATCACTATATATTTGTGATTTTATATAGCACTACTAACTACAATACTGTTTTTAAAAAGTTCATTACATTACAAAATACTAATAAAAATAGTGACTACAGTAGTATCTCAACTTGTAGCACGTATGTTCGACCACTGCCTCTAATAGTTAACCTAATTTAAAATTATGTTCCATTCTGCATGTTAATCTGTAAAACAAATTGTGAGTCACGTTGTTCAATTTATTATCCACAGAAAATACTGTTTCTGCAAAAAAGACCTATGTATTTATTTTTCACAAATCGACTAAATTTGATAAAATTTTTTCAAAAGTTTTTTAACAAACCTTTGTAAAAGATGTCAATCTTCCAAATGCTTTGGACAAAGTTTCTCCAAAACTTGCTTCTTTATTGTGCGTGCTGCCTTTCTTATGCAAAGAATCTAAAATAAAAAAAGCCCATTAAAAATAAAATTTTCTAAAATAATTCACATTTTTTTGAAATGTGATTTTATTCTTGCACATATATCATGACATGAAATATGCAGAATAAAAAATAAATAAAAAATCTAAATTACTTTCGACTATTAAACTGATTTTATTCTAAAATGCTATTTCAATTGCTTACATGTTATTAAATTTCATAAATGCTTAATTAAGTTACAAACACAAACAGAAAAAATGTACATCTTCTGAAGTTACTCTTTTTTTGGTTTTTAGATTCACAAAATATGTAGGTGTTTTAGGAATATAATCAGGAAAATGCAACTCTTATATTATACTTTGGATAGTGATAATCAGTTAAAGTCATTGAATGTTGCTTTTATGTGTTAATTTTTTTGTTACATTTCAAAATAATTGTTTGAGTATAATTTTTTTTTGTACAAAGTAAAGCCCATTACAATGGTAATTTTCCATAATTTTTTTAAAATAATTATAATTTAATTTGAATTAATGATTTGAATTCTAATTCAAATCGATTCATTTTACTCATTTCTAATTTGCGATTTTGTAATAATTTTTTATACTTTATCAATCAAAAATGATTTCAAAATCATTAAATTAAAAAAGTGATAAAAATTATTATTTTGAATAAAATTGTTTTTAAGCATACAAGTTTTATCATAGTTTCTATAAAAATTAAAGTTTATGCAGTTGATTTCAGAGATATGAAAAATTGCATAATGTAGAAATAGATAATTAGTACTGAAGAATATGATTACACAGAAACAAAAATAGAAATTTATTCAGGATGCTCCAGGGTTGCAAAAAACCCACCCTAAAGTGGGTTTTACTCGTTTTTTCTAAGATTGATTTTTTTTTTATCCTCTTATATTAAAGAGCTATTCTATTGAAATATTTATGTAGTCTAGCCTAAAAAAAATTAATCTATAGTGAAAAAACTAATTGTGTTGGGAGTCACCTTGCTGACTAGATTTGACTGCATGGTCATCGATTATTCAGTGCCATTTTTTCGCTTTCTATGCAAATAAAGAATGTTCCTCAAATATTTTTTAAGATTAAAATATAAATAAACAGTAATCCTGCGTTAAAATGTGTGATGTATGTGAGTAACATTTTGTATCGTGATGTCAGAAGAAACTTTTTTCAGACTTTCAATTCAATTTATTTGTATTAATTATCTATATGAAGTCAATTTATAAAATTAAACTTAATTATTAATATTAAAATAAGCTTTTTTAAAATAAGGTCTAAATCCCTGCCCTCTATTTTGAAAAAGCCCATGTGAAAACATAAAAAACCCAGAAAAGCCCAATAGAACCCAGAAAAGCCCAATAGAACCCAGAAAAGCTCAATAGAACCCAGAAAAGTCCAATAAAACCCACCAAAGTTGGGTTTTTCTACAAAAACCTGGGTTTTTTTGCAACCCTGGCGGTGCGCAGCGAAATGTCTCAACAAAAAATAAACACCTTTAAAGTACTTTTTAAGCATTCAAAAAATATTTTTAAGCACTATATACAATAAAATGCAAAATAATTTTCAAAGACTTTACATGATCATGATAAAATAACTAGCTTCACACAACGAACACTTTTCTTGATTATATTAGCCACCATAAAAAGATAAGATTTTTCGGTTCGGTTTCAGAGGGAGGAAAATGAAGTCTGAAATTTAGAATATCTTGCAAAATGCAGCAGAGTTGCACATGAGAGTGCAAGAATCTCAACAAACCCAGCTCAGTAGTAACTCCCAAGCATTTCATCAAACATGTAACACGTTTGGAGCTATCATACATTATGGACCGACGTCACAGTGAAATGGATTGTGGTTGAATGAATTGTGAAAATGTTAAATAGAACAATGTGAAAACCACACTTTGCGGAATACACAGCGAAAATCGACATGACAAAGAAAAAAATCTCATTTTCGAAAAGGCAAAATTTAGCACTTTTTATAAACATTCCATAAAAAAAGCACCTTTAAGAGCTTTTAAAAAATGAAAATAAGCATCTTTAGGCAATTTTTTAAAAATGATAGGCTCCATGTTATTAAGAGGAAGAAAAAAAATTTATGATTGATTTTGTAAATAAATAATTTGCACTAATTAATATATTTGAAGTTTGCAACCATTAAGAAAGTATTTTGGTACAGAAAATTCAATCATTAGATAAGTAACTCTTTTCTTCCCCTTTTTTGTTGAATGTACGAGAGAAATCAGATAAAATAAATGTAATGTTTACCTTTTGATGAGTCAGAACTAGTAGTCTCAATAAATGATTTTTCCCCAGCTCTACTTGACTAAAATAAATAAGAATGGTTACTATGCATGAATAAAAATTTGAGTAAGATATTAATATGCAAAAAGAAAAATGGTTTTCTTTTAAAGAATTCCCACCCCCAATAGTGTACAAATTAAATTTTACTTCATGCATAATATATAAAATAAATTACATACGTACAGTTTGTCTTTTAAGATGCAAAATATATCAATACATTTAAATCACATCAATTTTTACAAATATATTTTTTTCATTTGAATTTTATTTTCAGACACCAGCCTTTAGTTTATTATTATAAACATAAAGGACTCACAATCTGAAATTTCCTTCATTTTTTACATCTTAAAAAACACTGTTGAATAGTATGCTTAATTATTTTATAATATCTATTTCAGACAATAGTTATAAGGAGCCTTGATGGCTCACAGGACACAGAATTCGCTTCCCAATGAGGTGAGTCTGGTTCGAATCCCAGCGATGGTTGGTCGATACGAATTCTGCATCCGGCTTGCACTGACCACAGTGCTGATGCAGAATATCCTCAGTGGCACATGGATCTTGGGTTACAGCCCCCTTGACATCAGTCTAACTGTGAGTGGTTTTCCTCTCCATGAAACGCAAATGCGGGTTAGTTCCATCAAAAAATTTCTCCTTATACTTGATCCAGGAGTTCCCATGTCTTCTAGATTGAGTTCAAAATTACAAAGCTACGGAGTTGCACATTAGTAGTCGTAAACTCGAAAAATTGGGTCGACTGTCAATGACGGTTATAAAATAGTTAAAAGAAATTATAAGAAAATATAGAAATTGTCTGTATTAATCCAATGAAAAATTTAAAAAATTGACAATTCCTTAAAAAAAACATAGAAGTAATTCTGAATTTCTCCGTAAATCTTATACAACTGAAATAAGAAGTAAATTGTAAAAACTCCATTTACACTTTTTAATTTTATAAAAGGTTTTAATTAATTGATAGCTTATAGAGAAATCAAACAATAACAAAAAGAATAAATATGAAAAATTTTATTAAACATATTTAATTAAAGTAGTTTTAGATATTAAGTATGTTGAATAAATAATTTCAGTTTTGTATAATGTAATCCTTTAAAAATGAACATTACAGGAAGTTGGGACATATACATTTGGAAACATTTCCTTAAAATATTAAAAAAAAAAAAAAAAAAAAAAAAAAAAAAAAAAAAAAAAAAAACCAATTTTCTTCTTACGTGTAAAACAAGTTTATATTTATTTAGAAAAACTAAAAAAAATATTGTTATTAGTATTTTAATATATGTAACGATTTAAAGATAACCCACATCAAATTGCAACAATCTGAATCGACTAACGTCACTTGACAAATTAAATTCTATTTGAGGTTTCTTTAAGGTTACTTTGAAACATACTGCTTATTAGTGAATTGAGCTAGAGATATAACAGTTTTATATTTTACAGAGTTATAATAATTCCTTTGTTTAAAAAATACACTATCAGTTTCACAGCTAATGTTCAACTATGCAATAAAGAATTGTAAACTAAAAAATCTAATTGTAGTGTAATTTTGACTTTTTATTATTGAATGATAAAAAGACAATGATTACATACTTCAGTAGATAAATGTATAGCATTTTTTTTAATAGTTAGCATCATGTTAGATGACAGCATTACTAATTAAATAAAACTCAATCACAAATAAATAAAACTTTGAAACATCTGGGATTAAACACACTTAAAAAATAAAACAAGAATAAAAAGATATTACCTTACAATGGACGTTGGGTATTGATGATTCAATTCCACTTTTCTCTGGATAACCTAAAGTAAAATATCAATATTCATAAATATACATCACAACATTTTTATAACAATTCTATAAGAAGGTATACACTATTTGAAATTATATTGTTGCCAAAAACTAACATATCAATCAGTCCAAAATAATACGTCCAGAGTAATGAGAAAACTTAACTTTGGATGTTTAACAAAGAATTTTTTCTATTTAAAATGCTTGTTAATAGTTTTTTTTTCGTAACTTTTTTAAGGTTGTTAGACAGCAGATTTTATAAAGGATTTGTTTATACAGTAACTTTTTCTTCTGAAAACACCCTCAGTAATAAATAATTTAGAACATATTTGTTTTCAAAAATTTAAAAGTAATGAACAAACATAAAATTTAAATCTTTTTAGCCAAGAAAAAACATTAAAAAATGTATTCAATCTAAAACATAAAAGCTCTAATAGAAAAACTTAATAGATTCATTAATTTTAACTACTGATTTATAATGTAATAAATCAAAATAATTAGCTATCTTTTTGTCAAAATGCTCATTGCATTGATGTCATGCATAAACGTAAAGAAATCAGTAAGTTTAATTGTCTTTTAATAATTAATTTCATCAATATGAAGTTTTTGAAAAATGAAGTTTAAAATCAAGGTTACTTAATAACAGTTAGGAAATTACTATTTACCACAAGTGTAAAATTTAAAATAACATTTTAAAATTTGATAGAATAATGTTGTAACTAGTTGTAAACAGAGCAAAATAAAAAATGAACCACCCTATATAACTTTTGATCTAATGATCAGATCTTCACGTTCTAAGTTTCAAATTTAGACATTTGAGGAGGGGGAAAGACGATATTATAAGTTACGAAATCAGACACAAAAAGGTACTTTCTCTAAATAAACTACCTTTTTTCTCCAACAGATTCAAATTTCTGCCCCCCCCCCAAAATATAGGAGATAGCCGCAATCTGGGAAATATGGTCCCTAGAGTTTGATCAGGAGAGTGCTCCAAAGGATTTTTGCTACAAAGAAAGAGTGCTCCGAAATGGAGCCTCGTGGCTCCATTTGGGCCCCTTAATGTTAATTTTATTTTTTGCGTATTTCATCATATCTCTAGAACTTTTTAAGCAGACTGAAAAATTTTAAAATTCGTTTTTACAAATATAATTCCACAAAAAATATAACGTTTAGTTAATATTTATTATTTTAAAAAATTTAATTTTAAATGGCAAAATACAAAATTTGAGCGAAATTTGTCAAATAGTTTCTGGGAAATTGAATTTTAAAAATACGACTTTTTTCAAAATTCTATTTCTCAGGAACTATTTAACTGATTTTGCTTCAATTTTGTATTTTGCCAATTAAAATAGTATTCTTTAAAATGATGTAAAAAATTGCTTACCTAATATTTCTTTTTTTTATACCATTATTAAATAAAATATAAAAAAATAATAAATATTTACAAAAAGTTATATTTTGCAAAGATATCTTTGGATAAACAAATCTTATAATTGCATGCAAAACCTTTTGAACTCGTCTAGTTCTTAAGATATGGCAAAATATGCAAAAAATAAAATTAATATTAAGGGGCCCAGACTTTGAACCGCTCTTCTCACCAAACTATGGAGACTATATTTCCCAGATTGCAGCTATCCCATATATTTTTGTTCTAAGAAATCCGAATTCGTCAAAAAAAAGTTATGTTTATTTAGAGAAAGTATGTGCTTGTGTCTGATTTCGTAATTTCAAACATCGTTTGAATTTATTAGCATATTTGAGGTCAATCATTCAAATCATTACAATCGAGTCCTAGAACGTGAAGATCCGATCATTAGATCAAAATTTATTCAGGTTGGTCCATTTTTAATTTTGCACACTGTACAACAAAATACAAGATTTATTTTTGTTCCACATGAATAAGAATTAATGAATTGATAAAAATATAATAATAAATGGCACATGGCACGACAAAGTACTTTATCTATTATGCATGTCAAACTAATTTAAATAAGACTAAGAATAAAGTTATTATTGTAGGTATGAGATGTGAAGAAAAAGAGAAAGGACAAGTGAACTAAAAAAATTAAAAGAATGTGCTTGAAAAATTATCAAGTTGATTGATACATCACTAATCGAACAATAGACCAGAAAATATAACACTAAAAAAATGTTCAAATTATCTCAGAATGTTGTTAACAAAGTTTTAATTAAATAAGACAATACTATGACATTACAACTAACTGTTGTTGTAAACATGAAAGACTCAGAGAGCAAAACTGTGTTTACTTCAATTACATAAAGAGAAGATAAAATTCCATTTTTCATCGCACCTGATAAATGTGATAATTTTATTCTATATTTGGTTTTTCTTAGGCATAAAATTGAGTATATACCAATTGTTGGAAAATTAATGTCTACTTATTCCAATATTAATTTAAAATAAAAGTAAAAATGTTATTGCTTACCATCATCGGACACAACACTGATCTCTAAGTTATCCAGTTCGACCATACTTCTTCTAGCATGAATTTGTTCCTTCAGGCGAGCAGATGGTGCTGGGCGAATATCCATATCATCATGAGAGCGTCTTTGTTCCCAACTTACATGTTGTTTATGGCGTCTTTGCAGAGTGTCAAAATAAACCCTTTTACTGGAAGAACCCATGTTGTCATCTAAATTTTGGTAATCAGATTTCACAGCACTAAAGCTGTTTTGCACTAAATGAGTTGGGTGCTTTGGCGGTTGAACAACAGAATACACATTAGCGTCAGATTGAGAATATTGCAGTGCTGCTAAAGAATTAGGGTAATTACTCTGGTGTTCATTCCTTGCAGCCAAATTACTTTTATCATGGCCAAAATTAACTTTTGAATCATAAATATTTTCATAATCAGATTTGTGTTTCACTGTACCATATAAGCCTTGATGAATTTGTGAATGTTTTTCTTTAACTGTCCCATATAAGCTATTATTAATTTGAGTAACAGGTTGAACATTTCTAAAAGTCATTGATTCAGGATAAAATTGCTTACCATAGGGCCTTGGATGAGAATACACATTATCGTAGTGCGTAAGAGGATATGATCGGGACATGTGCACTTCATTGGTAGCAGGAGGAGAGGAATAACCAGGAGGAGGAGGTTGAGAGTTGGCAACCGATTCAGGAGCCCTTACATCAGTAATGTACCTATAATCCTGATTAGTTTTAGTTCTGGGTGATACAACATTTTGGCTGGAATGTTTGGGTGATGCAACGGTTACGATGTACCGGCCACCATCTCTTTTGACATTTTGCTCAGATTTATATGCTTCTGAGGATGGAACTCTTTCTTGACTATTTTTTGTATCATAATGGAATGTTCTAGGAGGTTTAGGAGGCCCTATTGGAAAGTAATTTTTAGGACCAATTGTGTTAGCATGTACATAAGAATGACCGTAAGGAGGAGGTTGTCTTATTTCATTATTCTGCACAGAACTTGGTTTTTTACTATCCTCACTAGTCTGAGAATATCCAATTTGTGATGGACTAACTTCAGGTAGTAACATATTAGGACCAGAATCAGACCCCGATGGTAGCATTTGGGGACCAGAAGTAGATCGTTGAAGACCATAATGAGATTCATTGTCATTACTATTTTTAGAAGTATCTTGCACAGGAAATGTAGTATTTTCAAAGTTTTCGAGTTTATGTTTCTCATAAATGGTAGATTTCTGATAATTAGGTTGTTTGACTGAATATAAAGTTTCATAAATACTATTTGAACTATATGGTGAAGAATAGGCATCTCTATTAAGTGCTTTGGCCTCAGAAGCAGTTTGTCTAGTAACTGGAAAGTAACGAGGATCAGACCTGTCAGCAACAGGAACAGAGCTACCAGATGAAATAGTGCTACTTTGAGAACTGGGTGTAGGGAAAGTAGTAGCTTGTGATGCTTTGGCTGTAACTTGTTTATCTAATTGAGAAGCTGAATCTTCTAGATTGGTACTTTTGTTACTTGATGGTGTACCAGAACCAGATGTTTCAGTAGGAGACAAGGGCGATTTAGCAGTAGTTTTAGACAAATGACCTCGTTTGGATTTAGGAGGTGGGCTATGTAGTAGAAGATTTTTTGAATTTATCAAATCATTATTTTTTTGTGCATTGTCAGTTTTGGATTCAACTGGCTTTTGAATAGATGTTGCATTACCCTTTGTTGTTACAGAAGAACTATTTTCAGGTTTATTAGGTGTGCATTTTTCATGAGAAGTTAGGTCTCGAGATTCTTGTGGTTGTAAAACTTTTACAAGCTGCGATGAATTTCTAAACACAAATTGTTTGTCGGTATTTACATTCATTTCATCAATATATGATTTTCTGGAAGTTAAGTCAATGATGGCACCTCGTGGATGATTTTTTAAACTATCTTCAATTTGGCGTATATTTTTTTGGGCCAGTGGATTAACATTCATATAAGTAGTTTCATAAGCTTGAGGTAATCGATTATCAGAAGCTGTCTTTCCATGAGAATAAGAAAGCTTAGGATAGGTTTGTTCAGTGTAACTCAATTTTTGCTTGACAGCTTGTTTACTTATTTCCCCAGGTCTACCACTACAATGCTCAGGGTCAGAAAATGACTGATTTTTATGCAGTATCTTTCTTTCTATTTCTTGAGAATGCTTGCGGTACTCTTTAATATTTTCATGATTCCAATCTTGTGCACAATTTGAATTAACATGTTCTTTAAGAGTAGATTCTTTATTAGTCTTATTTGTGTCAGACATATCTGATGCAAATTTGTTACATTTTACTTCAGAATTTCCTTTTGATACACTAATTTGAAATCTTGGCACAAGGTTTTCAGAAGATTTTTTATCACCTGCATTACTTGAAGAAGTATTAGACTGTTTTTTCTTTGTAGGAAGATCTGGAGGTCGTTCTTTTTTGAGACCAATATTATCATGCTCTTTGTAACTAATCATTTTAATTTCACTTGAATTAATGAAAGATTCAGGTACTACAAACTCTTTACTTGAATCTGTGGTATGTGGTATCATACTATCAGAACTATTATAATAAGAAAGAGGTCTTGAAGATGATCTGAGTTGTCTATTATCTTTGGCTGTATATGATGATTCCTTATTTAAGTCAGTAGAAAAATGTTCTGACTGATTGGAATTATTATTCAAATATTCAAAAGTTTGAGGAATGTTATCCCTACAAGCAGAATCATTAATTCTACCATAAATCAGTTCATGTCCCGCATTACTCATATTAATGTGTTGATCCATACTACTATCAGACAAAGTAAATGCACGACTAGAATTACTGACATAGTGGCTATGACTGCGAAAGAGTGGCCTGCGTTGCCTAGAATTATCAGTTTCTGAGCTAGGCTGAGATGACTTTTCAAAAAGGGCCTTTAATTTAGCAATACTAGGCCTTCTAATAACAGTAGCTTTTCCAACTAATTTGCCAGCATGCATATCTTCAGAAGAATTAGTTTTAGGAGAAGAATCACTGGATGTAGGTTCATCAACTAAAGAATGATTTTGGCTAAGTACTGATGTAGGAACATTATCTAATTTTTGAGAACATGCATTATCTTTAAGTGGTAAAGAAGTAGTCTGATTTGTTTTCAATTCACTTATAAAACTTTCAGAAAACTGTTTTGAAATAGGGCTTTTAGAAATAGACAGTTCAGCATGGGAGTCTTTACAAATGGCTTTAACTGTGTCACCTTTTTCAACAGCTTTATTCCATCCAGATATTAATTTTTTAACACTTTCTTCTCTGCAAAGTCTTTGTAACGTTCTTGAATGTTTACTGTAGGAAAACTCTTTGTCATCATCTTCGTTAGTCTCCACCATTTTATTATTTTCTAATGGCAAAAGGTTTGATTTTAAAGATAATTCTTTTATTTCTTTGAATTGTGAGCTGTTACTTATTTCACTCAGATATGAATAAGGATTAGAAAAACTATCATTTTTCAGAGAAGACTGAGTTGAATCATTACAAACTTGAATATCCTGATATACTTTAGTAATTTTGTTTAATTTATCCTCTGGAAAAAAAAAGGTGGAAGCATATATTACTTAAACAAATAAACAAAAACTGAGTTACAAAGAACATAAGAGATAATTAAAAATACAAATTAACAATAAAATATTCAAACTAGGTAACTAAAATGTACAGAGTAAAATAACTAAAATATACAAAAAAATTAAAAGAAATGTACTCTGTAGAATTAGTTACATCAAATCTTTAATGATAGCTTTTGATAATGATGATAACTAAGCTATATCACTAAAAAAGGTTTTCAGTATGTGGGAATATTGAATTTTAAATGAATGCCATCTATGTTTAACTCAGTTAACTATGTTTAAAACAAGAAGGCGTTTGTCAACACAACTTTCTTCTCTCCATACATGTGAGGATATATTATTTAACTTTAAACTAAACAAAAAGTTAACAATCTCATATCTAAAATTTTATATTCTCAAATTTTATTTTTTTCATAAAAATATATTATGTTGTTTCTATTGCCTACTTGCCATGCCAGCAAACCTGCTTGGGAAACCAAGCGAATTTAAGGCAGGGGTTGCATTTCTTAATTTACAGTGGCGCCATCTATGGCCAAGAATACGACTTCAGCCATACACTCATGACAGTCTGTTTTATAGGGCGGCCCCTATTATATATCCACAGATCATAAGTTTGACTTGAACCAGAGAACGATCAATCTCCAATTCAGTACCCTCAGAGGTATAAATTGTTATGAGAACCTTGTGACCCCAATAGATTTAATGTGCACCAGTCACCATTTAATACACAGGGTTTCTTCGGACGGCAGGATTCAAACTCACGTTCTCACAAACATGAGTTCAACGTCTTACCAACCAGGCTATCCCGGCCCAAAAATATATAATTTTTGTATAGAAAAAAAAAACTTAACCTACCATATTTAGATTCAGAAGTACAGATATCACCAGTAAATGGCTCTAATATATCCTCATATATATCATCCTCCTGAAAAATAAGCAAATAAAATTACTATTAAAAATAGTACATAAATATAAACTAAAACCACAAACATCTTTAACAGGGCTGCTACTGTGATAAGAATCTAAATTTTGTCACTTGATTCCTCAGATATGAAAAAAAGTTTCTAAAATAGTTTCCAGATGTATAATATAGTTGCAAATATTAGTCTCCCCTCTCCAATGTATTTTGAATATACAAAATCCTTAAACTCAATATGGAAAAGAGATGCACAGATGTTATGTACAAATTTAAAAATATAAAAAAACTGAAAATATGTACCAAGAAAAAAGTTATGGGATTTGTTAAGTGTGGTGCTATATAAACAGTTATCCAATAGTAATATACTCAATGGTTAAAAAATAAAAAGACACAATTCCAATGTTTCATAAATTCTGCTTAATTCACCAATGCAAAAATAATAATTAAACATTGAATTAGTATTTTGCCCAGCAATGAAAACTACAAGATTCAAATAAAAAATAATTAGAGCATACTAAAACTAATAAGCATTTCAAAACTTTCTTTTCTGAATATTTATTCGAATTCGCCTGAAGAGCTGTACAATTTTTTAGTCAATAGTTTAATATTATTTTAACCCTTTTATATTTTCATTTTTTTTTTTATTTAAATAGTTATTTGCTACTATTATCAGCCATTTCTACATTTTTTTAAAGCATCTGCAACTTCTTCTTAGCTTTTTTTTAAGTTTAACATTTTTCAGTAGAATTCAACAAATTTTTTCTTAGTATCTTTAATGAAGTGTTTAAAATCTGTGTTTCGGACATGTATGTGAAGTTTGAATGTCGACACCAATTTTTAATATTTAATAATTAATGCAAGAAATGTTGATTATCCTTTTCCTTTCTTTTCAGATTAGAATAAAATAAGTTTAACATTAATGTTACCACCACATTGGAGATAAAAAAGGATAGAGTAATGATGAAATCAAAGTTAATTAATAGGGGAAGGGATAATTATTGAGAAAAACTATTTAAAAGTTAACAATTAAAAGGCTCACAATGAGATACTTGGAACAAAATAAGAGTTTAATACATGGTTTTGGATTATTTATGCACACTGGTGGTCAAAATAGATTTAAATCAAATTTCGTTTTCTTAGAATTCTGTTTAGAGTTCTGACACAGCGAGAAGAAATATTATGAAATTATTCTCATCTTGCAGCAAATTGGCTTAAAAAAATTTTCTGATTTCCCACAACTGATAGCAAAATAGTCGTTTTAGTCACCTTTTTCGTTGCCAATGGCAGCCCAACTTTAAAGAAAAGTACAGTGGAGCATCGTTTACACGATGATCACTTATACGACGTTTACATTTATACGACGTTTTAGTGTGGTCCCAAATCATTCCTATTCATTTTAATGTAAAAGTATATCGTTTATATGACGCACAGAATCGGTTATACATCGGTTTTTAGATTTTGTTCACGCTTATTCAATTTTTTCTTTTTTCTTGTGTATTTTAAAAAAGGGCGGAATTTGCCAACATGAATGATACAGAAAAGGGTGCCAACAAGAATGCTTGGATGACGACCGTAATTTTTATTAGAAGACTGAAGAAACTAGACAATGTTATGAAGAGTTAAAAACGAAAATTTTTTCTATTCATCGACCAATGTCCAGTGCACCCATCGATACTAATTATTTTTGAAAATGTAAAAGCTCTCTTTTTTCTTGCAAATTGCACAAGTGCGCTTCAGCCATTAGATTTGGACGTGATTAGAAATCTAAAATTGCATCATAGAAAGCAGTAAGTTCAACTCGCTATTCAAAGCATTGTAGAGACTAACAGCTAGAAAATATAATTAAAGGCAACATACAATCAAATTGCTCACTGCAATTTTTCTTCTTTGGTTATTTGTTTGTTTTTCTTTGTCTAATTTAGAAATTTATGCAAATCAACACGTTAAACATTGAAATTAACTGAAAACAGAGTTAGTTTCACTTTCAGAAGTAAAAATCGTTTATACGACGTTTTTCGGTGGTCCCTTCGGCGTTGTATAAACGATGCTCCACTGTATTTAAAGAATAAAAAAATGCATAATAATTTTATAATCTTTTTAGGATAAAAACAAAAGAGAAGCTATAACTATCTGACTATTATTGGAATTAATGCCAGTAAATGCAAATTCTTAATTCTAGCTTAGTTTAAAATTAAGTTCAACCCTTAATGGTCTAGAAGTATTTTAAGATTACTTTCAAACTGGTATAATTATAATAATTAATTGAAATGATTAATAATAATTAAATTGAAAATATGACAAGAATAAGTGTGATAAAAAGTGCAATTTAACTTAATTATTAATTGAACTCAATAAGTATAAGTGTCACATGCCGCTAATATGCAGCATTGGTCTGTTAAGGGTTAACATATAAAAATGCATTACAGGTAACACTTTAGCAAGTGAAAACAGATTTTATGTTTATTAACAAAATTATTTAACATTTTAACAACTCATGTACTCCGCTTCTATGCTTTGTTTGATCAATTTCTCACCATTACAATACCAGCATTTTTGCATACTTATTACGATTATTCTTTTATAAAGAGCTAACTACAATTTATAATCAATTATAACTTAACTTAAAACGATTAATGATAATACAATAGAGAACCAATTATCCGGGATGCTCGGGACCATCGCTATCCCGGATGTCTGAATTTCTCGGTTTTCTGGATCAACCAAAAAGTGTCGTTAATCGATGTTTTATCAAACCCGAATTACAAGGAAAAAGTGTAATGCATAAAGTAAGAGAAAAAAGAAAGGTACTCCTAACTTTAAAAAGAAAAAAAAATGGTAGAAAAATAACATTTAAAAGAATAAAAAAATTTGCAAGTTTAGACAAGGAAAACAAGATTAGAAAATACAAAATTCTCGTATTTATTTTTTAAAAATAATTACAATTCCTAAATTAACTAATATAAACAAAACCAATGGTTCAATAACGCAATACATTTCATACCTAATTATACGGGGGAAACGATAAAATAAAAGGAAAACTTATTAGTAATCTAAATAAAAACACTTGAAAATTATCGAAACGATAGTTAAAAAAGGCACTAGCATAAATATTGAAACCCGGAACAAGGCAAGATCAACGGAATTTAAAAAAAAAAAAAACCTAATGATAAAATTTATGAATAAAAAGAATTAATATATTGAGTGCGAAATTTATCATGAAAAGAAAAAAAAATCCAACGTAGCGGAATCAGAAAAACAAAACTGCAATCTGCTTCATAAAATAATCCTATGTTTAAATCAATAAACTATTCTCCTTTTATTTATTTTTTTTTTTGTTGATAAAAACATGATATTTAGTTACAGCAGATGTGATTCCACATCAATAAAAACTTGCAAATGATACCGCACTATAATTTATTCAGAAGAAAAAGATTTTATTTTTATTAATCGATGTCAAATAGATAAATATATTTTTCTCTTTCATCTTCTGTTCACTGATATGCATGCAATGCATTTCCCCCACCCCCCTCGTAAATTAAACAGAAAACGAAATCAGCATGCCACACCCTTCAGCTTGATTGACGGCCTAAAGGAGAAAATAAAACATTCCTCTCTTCCCTGCCTTCAAGGTCACAGAGGAAATGACGTTTCTCTGGGTAAACGGGGGAAAAAAATTCTCCCCTTTCTTACATTTTCGTCTACTCAACTTCAAGGATGAGTTCATTTCTGCTTTTTTTCATAATCGTTCTAGTTTAAAATGGCGGGAAAACCAATCAAAATTTTTCCCGGTTTTCTGGTTTCCCGGTTATCTGGAAACCGGATAAATGGTTCTCTACTGTATTAACTTAAAATGATCCAAGCAATATGCAGTAAAGTGGTCATAATATTTGGTTTGGCACATATGGCTGGCTATATGTTACAATTGAACTCATTTTCACTAACTCGTGGTTGAACAAAATTATGGGTTTAACATAAAACTGTGTTATTAGGAGAATAAATTTTTGGTTGAATTGGATGATAAGAAAATATGCTGTAGACAGTTTTAATTAACTTGTAATATTGAAAATATATTGAGTGACTTAAGCAGAATTCCAAAGAACAGATTCGAAATATCAAAAATTATGAAGCTGACAATTAACACAGACACTAAGTGTGTATTTAAGTAATTTTCTAAAATATAAATATTAGAAAGAAAAAATAAAAAAGTGAAGAAAAATAGATATCTTTACAAGAGATTAGTAATGAAACTAAGAGCTAACTATATTGAAGTAATATATGCAGTGTGTAATAACTTCAATTTAAGTACAGAATGGCAAAATAAATTTATGCCACAGAATAAATATAGAATTAAGAACCACACAGTCAGAATATTTACCATTTGAAGTTCTTTTAAAATTAAAGGTTCTCCATCTTCGTCTAAATTTTCATAGGTATGATTATCAATAACTCGTAATTGCTGTTCAAACAACGAAGATACTGCTTTATGAACAAGAACATATTGTTCCTAAAATGTATATAAAAAAATTAATAGCTACAATGATAATTATTTGTATTTTTCAGCTGTCTCAAGTTAGAATATCTTACGTAATAAAAGTTGCCAACTTTAAAATATTTTTAAATGACTATTGCCCTTATTCTGATAACTTTATTTATTTTTATTAGTAATTGCTAGTTATTGTAGTAAAATACCTTTACCTTTAGCATAAATTAAATGTTCTTTTTTGGACAGAATAGGTACTTAAAAATAAAATAAAGTTATTGTGAGAGCCAGTAATATGTTTTCAAAGAATGTCACTGGAGGCAACTAATAAATACAATGATTTAATAAAATAGTTTCAAAAAAACTAGATATTGATATAAAAAAATAGCTAATAAAAACTTCAACACAATTACTAAAATTTCAAATTACCTTTGTTTGTACCATAGCAATCCTTTGCCTTCTCATATCAGCAATAACATTGAAAAGATTGAAACTTTTGGACAATTTCTAGATTTAAGAAAACAAAAAAATTCATCTTAATAGGCTAGAAGAAAAGGATGGCAAAAAAAAAAGAAATAAAACAAGAGAAATCAAATTAATTAATTTTAGGAGGCCAGAACTTTCATAGCAAAAAGGATACAACAATGTTTGCTTAAAAAAAAGTTGAAACTAAGGAAAGATCACACTCTGTTTTCTGAAAAATCAGGTCTTAAGAATAGTGGTTTCTCAAGAATTAAATATAATTACATTTTGTATTAATAAGAAACCGTAAAAACATTTGTATATTCAATATATTTTTTAAAATATTTCATACTGTAGTGTAATAATCCTAAAAAATCCAGATAGCACCAGCAATAATTAAAAGCAGCACCACAAGCAGACAATGCAAATGATATTTTCAGCACAGGAGTCAGAGGTCTTCTGAGAGCAGATTTTAATTCTTTTCAGGCAGCGTTTTTTTTTTTTTTTTTTTTTTTTTNTTTTTTTTTTTTTTTTTTTTTGGTGAGAAGTTTTATAGTCCTGTTACAGGAAAACATAAGACTTAGAGGTTATTAAGACAGCCAAAGTACCCTTTACAGAAAAAAAAATGAAGTATTGAATTTCATCAACCAAAGATTGTTGTTGTTACCTTAGTATGGAATGATCTGTATGGAATATCATCTGACAGGTGAAAGGAATTTAATTGATGTGAAGTTTTCCTGATAATGCAAATAAATGTTTTTCTTATTAATAAGCACCCCTTGACTTTCTATGATGACATCACTTCCGTCGCACCAACCCTGGCTATTACTACTAGCGTTAAACGTTTAACGCAACCTTGTTAGAAGTCGAATTAGAAGTTTCACTTTAAAAAAACTGACTCTTCAGTTAAAATACTTTTCATAGTAAGAATAGTATAACAGTACCCCTGATGTACCATTTTGCATACAAAAAATATTTTTAAGTTCAAACTTTATAAAGAGAAAAATATTTCAAAATTTACAAACTTAAAGCAAACACATTCTATACTCTATCGCATGGAGTGGGTTGAAATTCCTTACTCTTGAAAGGAAAAATAGCGGCATACATCGATAAAAATATCAAATCCTGTATATGAACAACCATTTTTTGGTCTGCACCTTTCCTTGTAACAGCGTACAGGAAAGAAACAAAAGAAATTTACCCAAAAGAAATTCCAGAATGCTAAATAGAAATACATGTCCCTTTTTTCAAAAACTAACTTTAATTGCTTTAAAAAAAAATGCACAATGAAAGTTTTGTTTGCATTATTTCAGAATGAAACAAAATAAATAAATGGAACATTTACTTACTCCCATTCTCATCAAACCCCATACAAAGTCGATAGCACAAATAGTTCCGGTTCTTCCACAACCAGCACTAAAATTAGAAGAGTTAAAATATTAAAAGATCAATTATCTTTTACTTTGAATTTTTTTATTAAATAAAAACTTCATATTATTATTAACTTTCTACAAAATTAAGTTAATAAAAAATAACAGATAAGAAAAAGGCGCCCATAAGAATGCGAAATAAATGAATCACCTGCAGTGAATTAATACAGGAACAGCTTCAAATGCTTGGCAATCACGTATGAGACGTACCAACTCTAAAATGGGTTGCACGGAAGTAGGTACCCCATGGTCAGGCCAGGTGGTATAATGGAACTGACATATTACCCTTTCTTCAGTTTCCCAACAGGCTTTAAGAGTACGAACTAAGAAGTCTGGACACACTTGGCGCCATTTTACCTGTTAAAAATTATGTTAGCATTTTAAAAAGAATCAAGAGACATTTCAGAGAATTATATATAGAAGGACCTCAATTATTCAAAGTAATTTGGATTGAATCTACTTCAGGTAGGCAAAATATTTAAATTGTAAAGGTATTACTGATTTTTCTAAAATAATAAGCAATAAATTCAATAGTTTTAGTAATAATAGTGTTATTTAGCATTTAAATTTCATTTTAATATGATTCTTTTATGTGACTAGTTTTATTATACTCATTTGCTCCTTTTTAGAATTTTTACAAAGCAGTATCTTATTCTGAATTATTAGTTGATTTATTCGATCTATATTCACAGATGTTTATGGTTATTTGAAAAGATTTTAACAAAAATGTAGTAAATTGATTATGAAAGCAGGAATTTTTTAAAAATTAAGCTTTTTCACAAGCACTTAAAAGTACAAATTTTAACTAATATACATTTTATACATAAGTTTCTTTTCTTATACATAAGCCTTCATTTGTTGCAGTGGGTGAAGGAACCTTTTTTGTTTCTAACTTTAAAACAAAGATTATACATTTAAATTAACACTAAGAAAATTTTTCCTGAAGACTGTACTGGTTGTAAGGCAGCAATGTATATTCCTCGCAAAACTCATAAGACTTCCTCCAGATTTCATTTGCTTTATGATATTATATTTTTTCAGATAGGAAAACACACTTTTTTTTTATAGAGGTTGAAGACACAGTCAAACTAGAACTAGACTACACTAGTTATAATCAAAAGACAGATCAAACAAAACAAAAAAAATTACAATTGCATTTCGCAAAACCAAAGCAACCAATTTCATTAACTAACAAAACATTCCCTTCATACCTACACAAAATAGTTTGTGGATTACATATTATTGAAATTGAGAAAAGAAAGAAGAAAAAAAATACCTCTTTGGAATCTATTCTACTTAACAGGAGTGTTCAGATGAAAGAGGTTTGGATAACTGAGGTTTTACTATATATATTTTAAATATAAGTTAATTTAATTGTTATAGAACCTTAAAAACTTAAAGAATTAAGTAAAAATAAACTGAATCTATAATTTGATTACACAGGGAAATATTTTTTATCTTATTAAATCTTAGTAGCAATAAATGTAGAAATGTGAAACTCCAACAGAAATCTGATAAGCAATTTCTAAAATATCAATTAAATTTCAAGGGATTATTCGATATTTTAATGGCATTCAGATAAAGAAGATTCTAAGGCATTATAAAAATAAAGAATTGAAAACTTGAGGGACTTTTTCAGACAAAAGTGGGATTTTATTTCCTCCATGTTGACCTGTGCAGAATAATATGAGCCCATTTCTTTATTTATTAAATAACTAATAACATTAAAATTTTTTTGTTTCATTGAAATTTGTTTTGTTTAATTTAATTACCAAATTTTAAGATAGTCAATATTTTTATAACTTAAATACGTATTACTTTAAAATATAAAATTTGATAACTAGGTTCAATATAACATTTGATTAAATAAAACTAAATAAATATTGATTAGTTAATGAAAAATATCAGAAATTGAATTCATATAATTCACTGGTTAATATGAAAGCAGATTCTTTTTACTGATTGATTGAGGGCACTTTAAGACTTATGATTTTTATATATTAAGAAATTTTATTTGTAGTACTTGTTTTTTTAATTCCAAAAATCATTTTTGTAATTTATTCTAAAATGAATGGACATCAAATAAGTAAATAATCATAATAAAAAATACAGCAAATTTCTAAATACAGTATCATTAGTGGGGAAAAAAGTAGAGTGAAAAGATAGTTTTAAATATAAAATATGCCGCATTTTACTTTAAAAAAAAAGGAAAACAAATTTAAATAGTAGACATTCACTTGCAAATAATATCGATTAGCACTGAAATCTAACTTTAAAGAGAACAGAATTATCAGTACTTACAAATTCAACATTAATGTTTCCATATTGCTTTTTTTCATCATCAGTAGGCCAATAGCATTCACATTTATACTAAAAAAATTCATTTTTAATAATTATAAACATTAAAAATTTGCAAATTTCTTATGATAAAAATCATTTTTAAAAATACAGATTCTGGTAATAGTCTATATAAAGAGGATGTTTAAATACATCAAGCTATTTAAAAACTAGTATTAAAAAAATGAAAAACAAATTTTGAGTAACCCTTAAAAAGACTTCTTGTTAAGTAAGATCAAATAGTTTCTTTAAAATGAACCCAGTTAAGAATTCCATGAGAATCATCTTTTAATACTATTAAAACAGAAACAAAATCGTCTTTTTTAAGATATCAGCAAAATTCAAAAAATTTCATTATTTATAGCAAGTAGTATATGCTAACATACCCAAGTTAATCCTTGGAAACTAGGACAAAACATAAAAATGCTTGAACATTCAAATAATTTTAATAGTCTTAATGCGTTCACTTATTATATTTTTATTGAAAAAAGTTTGCAACTTTGATTTGTTTTCACAATGGTCATTTAAGTGAAACTATGTATAGTATGCATAAAACAAAAAGCTACACCCAGAGTAACTTTTGATTTGATGATTGATACAACATCTATGGTCTTAAAGGAATATCTTAAGTATTCTGAATTAAATTATGAGTTCATTGACATAAATGTTGATTACACATAAATTATTGACAAATAAAATTTTCAAAAAACTGGATTAAAAAAATGAACATATCATAACTGGAAAAATATCAATGTAGCATGAAACTGACAAGACACATTCTAAACAACAATCATATTGCAAATTCAATTTATACATAAATCTAACATAATTAACTTTTACTATTTTTACCTTGCCAGATTCTTGCTCATTACAAGCCATAACAATGACTTGAACTTCACATTCCCAAATCATTCGCCAGAAGTCAACAACTGTATTAGGTAACGGTCCTTGTGAAGCAATATAAGCCAGTGAACCACTAGCTCCCTAAATAAATACAGAACAAAGGCAAACAATTGATGCAAATTAATAAATTTTATCCAATATAAACAAGGTATGTTGCTTGATTATACATTACAAGTAATGGTGTTGTACAATGTAATGAAAAAAAAAAAAAAGATCTATAATTGCTTTGTTTATCAAATCCATTTGTGGGACAATAAGTTGAAAACTGAATAGTAACAATCCTCCTCATAAGAAAAGTCACAGAGTAAAAGCATAAATAACACAACAACTCTGTATTTTATTAAAACTATGACATATGCTTCACAAAAAAATAATTAAAAAAACTTTACTCAACTTGCACCTTTGACTTTACTTATGAGACTTTATTTACTTTCCTTAATAGATAATTTTGAACAAAAATCTATTAAAAATTTGTTAATGAAATCAAAATTTTCTGCTAGCATGCTTAAAAGTCCAACAAATAATATAAAAATTTAAAAAATAATAATAAAATAAAAAGAAAACATTAAAAAATGTAATAAATTCGACAAAAAATTTATGATTGAGAAAATCAATGCCTATATATAAACTGTTTTATAATTTATAGAAACAGAAACAAAATTTCTGTAACAATAAGATCAAAAAAATATATATTAAATAAATCGCAAACAAATGTTTACATTATTTTAAACAATATTTCTAAATTTGAAAGTAGAATGCATAAAATTAAAGAAATAATTTGATGCAATATAACTGTATTTTTACACTTTAAAACTCTTGACACAACATCTTTCATATCAGTACAATTTGAATTTGTAATCATGAAATAAAAATTTTTTTTATCAGTAAACAACTATTTGACATATATATAAAATATAATACTATAAGAAAAAATAAAATAGTAGAAAGAATAATTATTACCTTAATGTAATTAGCATTAATGTAATCAGATCCTGGAACTCCTGGATATTCTGATAAAATAACTCTTGTATAATCATCTATAAATACATTAAATATCATAATAAAAAAACATACCTCATACATGTCTAAAAAAGAAATAAAAAGGTCATGGTAAAGCTTACAAGGTAAAATATCCTTATATCTATTTTTTCTTCGGTTAACATCCTTAAGGCCTTCTGATGTAGCATAGTTTTTGTCATGTTTTAATTCTTCAGTCAATCCCTTTAATTTCTAAAATATAACAAAACATAAATTTATTCATTGACTCATAAATGTTACTTTGACCAAACATTTGTATTTAATTTGGGGCATATTTAAGCATGCAAATCCTTTTTCAGAGCAAAAAAAAAATTTGTAATTTGTTAATAAATACTATGAATAATGGTTTCTAGAATAAAAAATGATAGGACAATACAGTTCCATTATCTCAGGTAAAAAAAAAAATTAATATAACTGAGGGGATATTTACATATCCTGATCTGCCACGCCAACTACAATCGCTAAATTGAATTTTAACAGGAATTTTTTTAAAAAATGTAGTGGCTTGCCCGGGCTGGCTACAAGTCATACCCTTCACGTTGGTCCCTTACAGTGATGTTTTTTAATTTCACGCGCGACACTGCCAGGAAGTTGCCAAGACTGACGATTATTCTGTCACAGATTACGATATGGAAATCTTCCCCTAATGATTAACATTATGTGAAGCTAAATAAAAAATAGACTTGGTATATTTGGGACAACCTTTGGTAAGCTAGATGCTTTGTCAAATAAATAAAACTTTATTTTAACCTTTCAAGGAAATCATACATAAAATTATCATGCCAAGTTGGAAAGGAAAGTACTGTAACAATGAAACATACTTATACCTTCAGCCTAGCTTATTTTAACTCTTAAGAATACTCAAATGAAGGAAAAAATACCCAGACGAACATGTCACATATTTTCTATTTTGTGCACTACTAACATAACTCTTTTTGAAAAAAAGAGACTTCTTACATAAAAAGTATATATACAAGATAAGATTCTAAGTTAATTCATCTAAATCAGAATAGTTAATAATTTCATTTGATAATGCAAACTATAACACATAAATGTACAATATAGCGATTTATTACTGGTAAGAAACATGAATTTATTAAGGAAAACCAGTGAAGTACCTGGAAATCAACTTCATATAAATCTTTTCCTAATTTTTTCTGAGCATCTAAAGTATCAGCATAATTTAAAAAGTTTTTTAAAATAGTTTTTAATGTCATTTTAAAGACATCGTATTTCTTGAAACTATCAGTTACATAGCAATACTTTGGTAGATTTATTTATAAACAATACGATATCAAATATTTTCTGGAATACGTCCATTTACACGTAGAGAATTGTTGCCATTAATTTGACACACATTTATACAAAATTCTTTCTGAGTGATTCTGTACGATGTTATTCCCATTCCTCTTTGCATTGAATCAAAAAATAATTGAAATATACATGGATTACTGAATTCTTAAAAGGGAAAAATAATAATAATAAAGCGATTTCATCACTTTGACGCTATCATTACGAATAAAACTACTAATTTCATAAAAAATTAAATTTTTCGTACTAAAACTGTACGAAATAGCATTTATCTTTTTTTTTTTTTACAGCCTTTCATACTTTAGTTCAAAAGCAAAATTTTTTAATTTCTTGAATAGATTATACTTAAATAAGTTAGTTTTTTTTAATTAATATTAGATAGCGCATGCGCATTTAATTTTTTTGTTTTTCTCTTTTTTTTAGCATCATTAGCATTATCAAAAATGTAATGTCATTTATCTGCAGCCATAACTGTAGTTTCTCTTTCTTTTTAACGGCAAAATGGCGGAAGGTACGTCAAATATTCCTAAATTAGAGGCTCAAAAAAATGAAATATCTCAGATTTTAAGAAAACTTTTAGTCAGACAAGATAATTGGTAAGACTTTAAGTATGTTTTTGTGTCTGTGACATGCTCACTGATGATCATTCGAATTTTCATAATATGCTGAAATTTAATACATTTTATGAATTAAATTTTTTTAAAATCATTTACACTAATAAAACTATACATATTTTTGTTGGTGCTTTTATTTATATTTATGAGGGATTCCATTATAACCCTAACAGCTTTCGGAAAGTAATGACACTCTGTCACTCATTCGATAAACAAGTGTTGTAAGCTTTTCTAACAACAACATTGGTTATTGTAGCTGATTTCTTTTACAGATTTCTGAATCCTTCTAAGGTATCAAAAGTACATTGGGGTACTGCATAATTAATTATATTTTATTAATGTATACGAAGATAAAGAGATCCTCCTCCGCCATAATTTTAATAATCAAATTAGGCAATTATGAAATCTTGTTTTTCTGTTTGAATTTAATTGAAATATTCGTTTAAGTTATTTATGGCGTTATAAATATACTTAATATTTGTCAATTCTTATGAAGCCTGATTCAAATTAGATTTTGTCTCTTATCAATAATATTTTTTTGGGGTTGGAGTCTTGTGTACTACCTTGATTATCTTGATTCATCCATTTTCGCATATTGATAAAGTATATTAATATGTATTTTTGTACTTAATGTATATTAGAATAAAATGTACATGAAGTTCAACTATGTTCTCAAGTTTAAAACAATTTTGTAGTTAATGTTTACAAATATATATCTTTAATTCTTATTTATAACCTATTCCCACCTAGAAAACACTTATAATTCACTTGCTCAAAGTGACAAAAGAAAAGCAGCCTGTTCCTTCATTGTTTGTTAATTTCCCATTATTGCAATGAATTTTTTTCTATTATTTGCTCTCTTACAAAATCGTGTAAATAAAATTAGCTGGAAATTTAATTTACCCTGTTGAAAGCAGAAAGTCTGGATATTTGAAGGAAAATTGCCAATGTCTTTGAAAAATTACTGTACCATTTATGAAATCAGTAACTCACTTTGTTTTTCACATTATTTACTTTTTTTTTGGTTCTCAATTTATTTCTGGAATAATGTTATTGTAATATAAATAGTGTCTATGTCAGAAATTTTATTTTATTATGAATTTTTGGTGTGTTAACAATGTTGTACCACTATGTCTTGTTGTAAAAAAATTTTTGCTCAATATCTATGCCTTGTGGCAGAATTTTTTCGTGCTATCTGCTACGAAACTGTCTAGCACTAATATCTTTCTACAAGATACTTTTAATAATAACAAACCAGGGGTCTGTTTAGAAGAAATTTGGGTCCGTCCTATACTATAATAATTTTTTATTATAGGTGATATTCTCGCATTATGTTGGGGTAAGGCACAGTTTATTTCCTTAGCATTTTGTAAATAATCATCACAATAAAAAAATAATACAACAAAATCAGGCGAATTAAACTCTTCAAAAAGGGGTTACTCAAATGTATAATAAATAATTGAAATATCATATAAAAAATATCGGATTTATTACTATTGAGAAATCATGCCAAAAATTAGATAGAATCATTGCTTTAAAAAATATATACTCAAATGCACAATTTGAATTTAACATATTGTTTGAAATATATCGAGATATTTAAAAGCCACATGAAAATCAATAACTGCCCAAAATACGATTGAAACATTACATTGATTTATGATGCTATCGGCGTAAATTAAGCATGCCAAAAAGTCATTATCTAAATGTTCGGTTCAAATATTACTTTTGCAGAAAAGAAAACTAAATTTTTTTACTTTTCAAAACAAAAATTTTTCTCCACGAACTCTATAACGTTATGCGACAATGTTGCCATGTTGCTGCGATTCTGCCACGGTGCATGTAAAAAGCTATTGGTTTTAAACTGCCTTGCCATTAATTGTACTGTAGTATTAAGATTTAACATAATAAAATTATTTTTTCTGTTTAAAATAAGTTTCTTAATCAAATTTGTAGTTTAATTTGATTTTGAAAATAATAAATATTTTTTACTTGATTGTTAAAAATTGTTTTTTTTTCTTCCTTCTAAAATTCTATAGAGTCATTTGTTAATTTTTTTTTATCCTAAGACTTTTCAAATTTTAGATTTAGAGAAATATTGTGCGATTTACGTCCGACATCAACAATTTAATCCATTTAATTAGAACTTATCAGTTTTTGTAAAACAAATTGTTTATTGATAGGTTATGATATGCTAAATATTTTGATTTAAAATTTTGATGACTTTAAATTTAACCTATATTTTATGAGGGAGTTTTTTTTCCAGAAATTTCTGTTTATTTTTTACATTTGACACCATGGAATTGATCAATTGGTATTTTTTCTTTCCTTTTTATTCAAAAATTTAATACATTTTAAGTTTCAACAGTTTGTAACAATCTCCAACTGCAAATGTACACATTAGAAAAATTAGCACTATTTTATTGCATGCATACCTGGCTCCCATTTCTAAATTAAATAAAATAGTATGGAAAAAAATCTTTTAAAATTTCCAGAAGATTTTCTATTGATCCCATACTTGTTTAGTTTTCGTCTTATTCTGTTTATTGTTCTTATTCTCTTTTATTGTATTTTTTTCATTGTTTAATGTTTTTTGTTTCTTCGAAAATGTTTAGATTTTTTAACTTTATTATTTTGAGTTTGAAAAAAGTTTGTTTAACCTCACCTTTACTGCCAACACAAAAAAATTATCGTTACTCACTATTGTTTGCCATTTTTTTTTTTAATATTATGAGTATAATAAATAATTTAAAGTGTGTTCCTTATCTATAGAATATTAAAGTTAAATCCATTTTCCTGTGACTAATGTGTTCAATAAATAATGTAGCAGGTTGAATTTTAAAATTGAACTCAAATTCAAACTTTTAGTTTGTAAGTGCTCAGATTGCCCTTTTTTTAAAACACCTGATTGTTTTTTTTGTTTTTTTAAAATAAAAACTTAAGCTTTAGTTCAGCAGTTGCTCCCACCTTGTTTAATATTATTTTCAGTTGTTATTTTCATTTTGAAATAATTTTCTAAAATGAAACTATTTTTGGTCTAATGCTAAAATTGCTATCAATAGAATTTTTATTAGACCTGTTATATTGCAAAGTAGTGAATGTTTGCCGTTAACAAAATTGAATGAAAACTGACTTAAAAATTTTTTGCGGAGAGTACTTTGAAAAATATGCCAATTTAGAGAAAATGATAGATGCAAAATCTTGTTTAATTATGAAATCTGTCAAAATTACCTTAAATCCAATCTTAAAGTATTACTGGCCTAGACCTAGATATATTTTAAGATGTGATAACTCAATCTCCTTTAAAAAGGCTTCCTTTGAAAGTGTAGAGGATGGACGTAGAAATTATCTGGATGAAAAGACGCAACATGTATGTTTAGGATGCATAGTTACAGATATGAAGACAATAAAAATTAATCGTCTTTGGACGGTGGGATCTGATTTGATCCATTGAAAGAAATTTGTAAAAAAAAAACAGCCTTTTCCTGCTGAAAGCTGTCGTGCAATTATAGAAGTTTAAAATTACTATAAAACTATACTTAATCTTGTTCAAATCTTTAACTTTGCTGTTCTAATGTCTTGTGAACATTTTCAACATTTTATTTATACTTATTTAATTATTGATTTAACACAGCATTTTAATATAAATGCACTATTCAACAGGTGTTTGATTGACAATAAATGGTTCAAGCAATGGAAAAAGTATGTTGGATATGATAACTGGGAAACCTCAAGTGTTGGAGATAAAGCTACACATCCTGGTCCTATCGATAACTCCCCTCTTTTACGTGGTATGTTGACTAATACTATTTTTTTAGTGTGTATTTTTTTCAGTATAGTACTCAAACTAATATAATTATCTAATATTTTTGTTGAAAAATATGTCTATTAGGTAAGCAATTCTCAAAGAAAAACCTACAAATTCTTTTGTTCCAGACTGGTTGTGTTACTCATTCACTCCAAATTCTATTGTGGTTAAGTTCCAGAGTTAATATTTCCCTATCCAATTACAAGTTACTTTTTTGGAATTCTTAGCATCTTTAAATCTTTCGAGGAATAGAGTTTTAATTATACTATGGGCCTAAGCATCCTTAATTTTTATTCTTCAAAAACACATTTTTGAGTGATGATTAATTGTTATTGAAATACAATACTATGTATTGAATATGTAAGGGGCTGTTAAAGCCAAATTTACTGCCGTTTAGTGGTACCTTCACAAATTCAACTTTAGGAATACTTTTTCTTAAAATTTTATTTTTGTGTCTCTTAAGAAAAGATAAATCCATATTTTTGGTATGATTCTTCATTATAATTTTTAATTTTCACAAATTATGTCTAAATTTTTTTTAAAAAGGTACCTCTCAGAAAAACCTAGACAGACCCCTGATATGCAAAATCACAGGAAATGAGTATTTTACGTATGGAATGGGTTAAGCAAGTATGAACTGAAGTATCCCATTTTCTAGTGTGTTGTTAAATTAGAAAGTGAATTTGTTATACACTTTTTACAAAAGATGGTTATAGCTTATTATATCAATGTTAAATTCAGTAAATCTAGATATTTTAAGCATATTTTTTTATACGAAATTTTTGTACATACTAATAATTTTAAAGAACTGATTTGTTATCTCTGATTTGTTTGTTAGCTTTTTAAATCAATGTTTACTGATTTACGACTGCTTTTTGTTGATTTTTTTTATCGATAACCAATTAGAACACATTTTGATTGGTGTCAATTTTGCGACATCCCAGAGTATTGCAGCTCTATTAAATTGTAATTTTATCAGTATTACACATGTTTTTGGCAAAAAGAAAAATATGTTCATTTTACAAGTTAAAAATAGCACTGACTTGTTCTGAATCTTATCCCCTAGTATGCACAGTGTCAGTTTTGTTACTTGTATGCACACTGCTAATAGTATACTAAACAATATCTTTTAACCTTAAAAAATATTAGTGTTCAATATACCAAATGTAGCACTAACTTTAAAAGAAATATCAGTGTAGGATATACCAGGAAAATTTATTCCGAGCAGTAATACTTGACCTTAAAAAATACTGCAGATGTATTTATCAAATCATTTCCCCATGCAAAATTTCTATTGCCGCACTGCATAAAATCATATAATAGAATTAGAAAATCCTTCAAAATATAAATGCATAAAATCTCACCTGAAAGCTATAATTCCATTCATATATCTTCAAATTAACATATTCCTTCCTAATTCTGATAATGCACTTCGTATCATTGAAACCTTTTTTTTACTCGTAAATTACTCAAATCAACACAACGAAAATACCTATCTTCACATTAAGTTAAAATCAAAATGCAATAACACCCATTTAAACATTTCGCCCGTGCAAAGCAAATTAATGTTGCAAAAAACTCATTCCTAAAACAAATTCTTATAACTTAAATTTCACAGAAAATAATGCGTAACTAACTGAAACTCTAACAAATCAGTCATTACATCACCACAACTTTGATAACGTCATCATCCACTTTTATAATCACCACTTGCAACTTTCTGTTTACAATTTCTCTTACCTGCAATTGAAATTAAACCAGATCTTATCAAAAACAGATTTGTACTAATAACAAAGCTGTACTGATTTTAATTAGCATTAATTATCCAATTTTTTAAAAATAATTTGTTTTAATGTAATTGATAATTTTATTGCATAGTTTTGTTTTAACATATAATTTAAATGTTAATACTTATTTATAAGGAAATCTCATATAGTTTTTCTAACATATGTACACTGTTACAATGTTCTCAACTTCTTTCTAGATGATGGCAGTGGAGAAATTAAAGATCACCTTATTGATGAGTTGGATTACGTTTTAGTCCCTGAGGAAGCGTGGGAAAAGCTGGTAGAATGGTATGGAATAGTTGAAGGTCAACAACCGATTGTGCGTAAAGTTGTTGAATATGGAATGTTCGTCAAGCACTGCAAAGTATGCTGATATTTTTTAAAAAAATAATCATTTTGTTCTTGTGTGTGTATATATATATACAGTGAAAATTCTCGGGAGCGACCACTCTCTGTTTCATAGTAAAATAGTGGTTGATGGAGGTTGGTCATTCTTAGAGGTTACCTTCATTGACTTCAAAATTGTTATTGAAGGTACACGATTTTTTGCAAATGATTTTAATTTTAGTCAGTGTCATTTTCTTTGTGTGGAAATGCCAGTTGTGTTGGCATCATAACACCAAATCGTTAAAATGTAGCGTCAATAAAAATGATCCCTACCTATATAGTTATGTGTAAAAACTTACCAATTATGAATAATAGACCTATTTTAATATTTGATATTTTTTCCTGTTTCCTTATTTGACCTTTTTTGCATTTGGTGCAGAAGTTTGACCGATTGCTGGGAGAGGTTTGATGGTCTCTCATAAAGTTTTTCTTCAACACTAAGTCTATGTCTCTTATTTTTAGAATGATTTGCTATTAGGGGTTTAAAATTATTTTCTTTTTAAATTGTTACTCAATTAAGTTTTACCATCTTATTGATGCTTCTAATCCGCATAGTTAATTTCTTATTTGTTTTAATTATTGCTTTTCTTTTTTTCAAAAATGTTCTTATGATGATTGAATAAAAGCTGACTTTATTAAGTTCGATTATACACTCATTATTTATATATATTTATAATTTTATTATATTCACTTCATATTTGAAAAATTCATTTTTTTTTTTAATTTAAAAAAAAAATGGAAATTTAAGTAAACCTACAAGGGAATAAATTACTTCTTTTTGAGTGTGAACCATGTATTAACACAGCAATATATTTCCAATAAATTTTGAAACAATGAAAATAAATTAAAATGCTCTGTAAATTTTTAAATAACTGATTTCACTTTTTTTTTTAAAGGTTGAAGTATATTTGCTGGAGTTCAAGCTTTGTTCAAACAGTGATCTAGAACATATAATATCGAAGAAATTTAGTAAATCTGATACCATAGGTATTTATATTCATATGTTTAAATACATTTTGATAAGTAATACTGTCTTAATATCTTGGGCGCATAAGACCTTAAAATGGCATGGACATTGTCACAGACAATATTTCTTATTTGTTTGCCCGTCCTTCTCTCCTTTGTATTTTATTTTAGTTGACTTTTTAGCTCTAATATTCTAGTGAGTATTTTTGTTTCAGCATTGTATGTGCATTACTTTAAATATGGTTTAGCAGTGCAGCCATATTTGATCCTCTTCTTTACATTTCTTAATTTTTTCCTGATTTTCTGAAATATTTATATTTTTTCTGTGCTGATTGATATTATAGTTTTTCACTATCTAAATATTTGTAAAATGAGTACAAATAAATTATATTTTTATTTTATACCTCCCATTGTCATAAACCTGCTTTAAAGTACCAAACTACCTTTTTTAAGCAGATTTTGACTAAAATATCATTTTTCTATTTTTCATATAAAATAAAACTAAAAACTTTTTCTCTTTCAAAAAGTGAGTTTTGTCTCTCAAATTAAATTGAATGGTAGCTAGGATAATTTAGAAAGTCATTTATTTTGGTTATTACACTGATAATTGTGCCTTTTTGTCATTTTACCTGAAACAAATTTTTGGATTGTTTTCCTTAATTTTAATTGCGATATCTAAAAAATTTTTAATTTGAATAACTTGTATGAGTTTCCATGAATGTTTTCTCTAACTTAAGTCTTGGGACTAGTTGCTTTAATTATTTTATATTTTACAGCTAAAATTAAAATCACTGATTGCAATTTTTGGCCTGTTTATGCCAAATAAATTTTGATATTTGCTGTGAATTATCTAAATATTAATATTATGTCAAATGTGTAGTCTATTTTCTAAGTTGAGACTTTGTAAGTGTCACAAAGCAAGAATACCAAAAAAAATAAGTAAGTTCTTACTAAGTTATGGGATTTTTTTTTTTTTAAATCTTTTTTTGACCAGTTTTTCCCCTCATATCTTCTGGGGAAAAAAAATTTCCATCTTTTTTTGACATTTATATCATGTTTTAGTGTATATTACCCATATGACTCTAAATTAAAAATTTCAAAATTTTGTCTCCAAAGGTATTAGGGTACCTTGAAAAAATAAGGGAAGCATAGTTTGGTCACCTGTAAGATCTGTATCAATCAGAGTTTTATTTTTTGGGCCCATTTTTTGTGAGAAGAAATTTATTGTAGAAAATAGAAATTATGTTTGTTAAAATTTCTTAATTGAGGAAAAACCTATAGTTTTATAATAATATCTTTTATTCAGATCTTTTTGTTTAATCCATTGTTTTCTAATAATTTTTTTTTTGATGCTTTCATATAGTTTTTCAAATTCTGATATATTTAATACGTTATGTTATGACATGACAATATTTGGTCACTCTTCAGAAGAATTTAATTCATGACTGTTTCATCATGATTTTACATCTTTTAATGATAGTTTTGTTGTTTTTTTTACTCCTTTTTTTTAATGTATTCTAAAATTTTTAATATGATGTTCAAATTTCTATTTTGAGTTACCATTTTTTAATGCAATTTGGGAAAATTCCATCATAATTTCACACTGTTTGCTCATTTTTTTTTCTTTTCTTAGTTATTGATAATTTTCCAGCCTTTTTCACCTGGTATTATAATATGCCATTTAATTATGTTATATAGTGTTATTATATATGTGCCATTAATGACATGTAAAATATAGGCATAATCAGATAAATGTATATAGACTTAATATGGGCTGTAAAATAGTGAGAGACTAAAGGAATTCACTATAGGGCCTATCTGGATAAAATATTGATTCGTAACAACCTCTCTAGTCCAGGCCAAACTTACTACCGTTTAGCGGTACGTTCACAAATTCAACTTCAAAAAATACTTTTTTCTTAAATTTTATATTTGTATCCCGCAAGAAACGATAAATCCATATTTTTGTGTTTATTTTTTAATAAAATTTTTAATTTTTACGAATTATGTCTAGATTTTTTACAAAATAGGTACCTCTTAGAAAAACCTAGACAGAGCCCTGCTGATATTAGATCTTAGTTCAAAAAATTATATCAAATATGATTAGTATATAAATTTATATCTTGTTATCAAGTTTTTGCACATTGTTCAATTGTTTGTTCAAGTTTGCAATTTTCAGGGTTTCAATTTTTACTTTGTGTCAAAATCATCCCTGATCATTGTGAGAGTTGCTTGTGCAACATTTTTCATTGTATTTTATGTAATTGTTTTTCTAGGCTTTATTGAAAAAGAGATGCGAACATTATTTAACATCCCTGATGATAAAGAAACAAGGTTATGGAATCGATATAGTCACAATACTTACGAGCATCTTAGTAATAAAGACAGTACAGTTCAGGATGCTGGATTGTATAGTGGTCAGGTAATTAACAAAATTAAAATTACTGTCTTTAAAAAATTGATCTATTTCATTTTTATGTCTATTTCATATTTATTCATTTTTATCTATTCCATATTTATTATCACACACCTGAGTTTGGTTTATAGTAATTTTAAGTTCTCTGTCCTTTTCTATACTTTAGATTTCTAATTAGAGTATATTAGAAATCTAAGTTGGAACTTGTATACAAATATTATAAATTGTAATAAAATTTTCCAGATAAAAAAAAAAATCCATTTCTGAGTGACAAATCATTCATTTTTTAAACAACAAAAACTTATTTATAATTTGTTTCAAGATACTTGTTTCAATCAATAATTTAAGGAATAAAAGCAATGGTGTATGTTTTATACTATACATCAGTTTTTCAAATGAAACATTTAAATGACCAACTAAATCATCATAATCAACTAAAAGTGGTATATCAACTAAGCAATTAACTAAAGTGATAAAAAAAATTTTTTTAGCCACTTAGTTTCTGGGTACCATAAAAATTTATTAATCAGTGTTAATCCTTTTAGGTTCTAATAATTGAAGAACAAAATGATGATGGCACCTGGCCTCGGCAAGTAAAAAGGTAAGTGATTGTTTAGGTATAGAACGCACAGGTTGATTTACTTTTTAATGGCATTGCATTTAATTTTGGTTTGGTTTTTAACAGAGACGTAACTTTTTTATTTATTTTTTTATTATTATTATTATTTTTCTGCTGTTATATAAACTAAAAATTTTTTTAATCGTGAAAGTTAAATTCAAAATTTTTCTACAACTATTGTGACAACTAGAGCTGAGGGAACATTTATTTTTTCTAATCACATATGAAATTATTGCTACCACTAAAAATTAAAGCACCCATTTTGTTGTAATTGAATAGTCAAAGATCGAGCGAGTTGAAAAAGTTAATAATCTAATGCTGGATTGGAAGTTAGCAGATCGTAATAATATCTTATTAAACCATTAAAATTAAAAAAATTATTTGGCCATGTGTTGTAAACAATTGTAAAAATGCTTAAATCAAAGTTTTCACTTGAATCCAAGGCGCTATTTGAAATTTGTGGAGCGCAATAATGTAATATCAAAACATTCCAATTTTATCAATCATATGTTATTCTGTAGCAATAACCTTGTAATTAATGTAACAAACTTTAACACGTTATTTCATCCTATCGTTATATTACGAAAATGAGGTGGAAAATAAATTTAGATTGGGAGGGGAAAATGAGAACTGTAATTAGACTTCACTGAATATTTTTTTATTTACATATAATTATTCATTCTTAAATAACCTAATAATTTTAACACTATAAAAACTTAATTATTCTAAGAAAACTGCAAAAAATTTACAAAAAGGGTTTTCAGGTAAAAATGATATAAATACATAAATATTAAAATAAAAATTATATTAATAGTTGCAAATATTTTGACTCTTACTTAATTTCATTTTTAGTTTAATTAGCTAATTCCTAAGATTGTTGATTTGTATATTATTAATTTCAGTAAAATTTAAGAATATGTATATTGTTTGAATAGTTTTTTTCATATATTGTATTTTTATTGTTTTTATTTTGTATGTATTTCTTTTAATAAAAGGTAACTCTGGCAACTAATTCATTTCATCAGTTACAATTCTTTTTCGAAATAAATAATCTTTTCCCCTGTTGTTTAGTTAGTTTTTTTTTTGTTTTAAAAAAATAGCAAAACTAACTACTTATTTAAATAACTAATCTACTTACACCCAATTATTCTTTGTTACAATGTTCTTCTTCCAGTTCTTTTTTAAGTGTTTGATTTAACACTTAATTTTATACAATAAGGAAAAATTATTAAATTGACTAGATTAATGAGAAATAATGGTCTAATTTTTATTTAGCTTATTTGAAGAAGGCTATATTTCCGTTGCTTCATTTTTCTTAATAAGAGAAGTGCGGAAGGCAATTAAAACTGTGGAAAGATGTTTTGCAACTTTGTGTTTTGATTTTTTCCACTTTTTAATAAGGTACACAATTTATTTCCCTTCCTTGTGCTGTATTTGTACAATCGATTGGCTGTAAAATCTTTTTTGGATTTGAAATTTTTTCTATTCTAAAGATGTTAAGGGAAATAAGTTTATTTTTTGTAATTGGTGTTTTACACTTATTGTCTCTAAGATATTTACTTATTTGGCATGCTAGTATATCAACCATTACAGCATCTTTTAAAATCAGCTGATTTTTAACAATCAAAGGGTTTCTATCAATTAAAATAGTTTCTTTTCTTTTTTTTTTTTTTTACAAAATACTTTCAAACTGAAGTATAAATTTTAACTTGCTCAAAAATTACAACCAAGCAACTTCTTCAGTCAAATAATAAGTTCTGCTGTTGTCTTAAGAAAGAAGAAAAAATTTAATAAGTTCCTAATTATGAAGGATCATTGTATCTTTTTACAGGGTGGGTAGCGTTTATATAAAGTTCTTAAAAGTGCTTATTTTCATTTTTTAAAGGACCTTAAACGTGCTTTTTTTTACTGTTTAATTTTCCCTTTTTCAAAATGAGACTTTTTCTTTACCACATTGATTTTTGCCACAAATTATGCAAAAAGACATTGTTCTATTCAAGGTTTTCACAATTTATTTAACCCCATTTTATGTGCATAGCATATGGAAACTCCATTCATTTTACATGTTGGATGTAATACTTGTGGGTCTGCATGTACATATAATGCGCTGGATTCAGTGGGAAGGATTTTTGCCTCTCGTGCAACTCTGCTGCATTTTGCAAGAAATTCTCAATTTCAGTTATGCTGCAATGTTTCCATTTAAATTAGATTTTTGATTTAAGGCAAACAATACTTCATATCGAGCAAAAATAAAACCCAATATAAAAAAATTTCAGAGTAATGAATGAAAATCTTAAAAATTGCTGAATCTGATTGTATTTCGTCAACCGTGAGATGAGTTATTTGCTCTTTCTATTCATCAAAGGCTTTATATAAATTGCATTAGAATTGTGTAGTATTAGAAAGATTTGTTAGCAATTTTTCCCAGATTCTTACCAGTTTTTTGGTATTGAAAAGGAATCTTTTTGTGAAATGGAGAGAAACAGAAAAAATGAAACCAATAGTTATTATTTATTTTTGGAGATGAGAATAATTCTCACAAAATGTGAGACACACAGTTTGCAAAAAAATAATAAAAATAAATGAAATAATAAAAAATAAGTATTTTCAAAAAGTTATTTTTTGCATGGAATTGTCTTTGAAAGAACAATTTTATAATTCTATGCCAAAAAACTTTTGATTCACTTACAAATTTCTCGAGATATTACAAATATAGGCAAGAGGTCAATTTAACAATAGCGGGTCAAATTTTTGAAACGCTTTCCTGACTAAACTATTGGAACCATAGTTCTCCAATCGTGACCAAAATATAGGTCCACCCCCTATATTTTGGGGGGTCAGAAATCCTAATCCGTTGGAAAAAAAGGTATATATTTTCAGAAAAAGTACATTTTCGTGCTTGATTTCATAACTTAATATATTTGAGGTCACCCTCTCTAGCCATTGAAATTGAGTCCTAGAACGCGAAAATCTGATCATTAGACAGGACTTTGTCTACGTTTTTATGCGAGATACCTATTTTGTGAAAATTTAGACATAATTTGTGAAAATTAAAAATTATATTAAAAAAATCGACACAAAAGTATGGTAAAGTAAGAAGATATTTTCAAAAATTGTCACTACAAATAAAAATCATTTATGACTGGTAAATTTTTATACATTTTTCTCCATATATTCAAAAATAATTTTGCTATTGTAAAATTTTGGGCTTAAATATGTATCCAAATTTAAAAATCATTGTCCATTGTTGAATTTTAACTTGAATTTAAAAAAAAAGAAAAAAACATGCTTTTGTCAGTACTTGCACTTCATTATGAGAACATTTTCCATGGGGTCATATAGAAAAAAGTTTCGCAGAGAATAAAACGTTTCTTAAAAAAAATAAAGGCCTGTTAGAATAAATTTAGAACAATGTTTGAATATTTAGAATAATTTTTGAATTTCAACTTCCTGTAAAGATTGCAGTGGATTCGCCTCGTCGTTTAATTTGAAAGAAAAGCTTGCTATAATATGGCGTAAGCGACTGGCTAGGCTTACCACACCACATTATCTGACCAAGCACGAGCTACCTATTCATATATGTGGAATTAACTCTGGATTTATCGTTTCTTATGAGGATACAAAAAAAAAATTTAGGAGGCGAGGGTGAGAATCTTAGAACTTGCTTTATTAAAAGCATTTTGTGAAACTACCATTTTACCTAAAGTTGAATTTGTGAAAATACTGCTAAACAGTAGTAAATTTGCCCTGGACAGACCCTGTTAGATCGAAAGTTATTCAGGGTGGTCTGATTTTTATTTTTCTCTTTGTACATAAGATCCATTGAAAAGAATTTTATTTCTAAAATTTCAATTTTTAAGCAGTCATTTATGACTAGTTAGTGTAGTTAAAATAAAAAGGAAGAAATATTGCTCCTTGAATGTCTGCCTTAACAGGAGGAAATCATGTATAATTTAAGAAAAAGAAATTTTTTTTAATAAGAACTCTTGTCTCCAATTATTAATGACAGATGCTAATGAAAGGGATGCAAGTATCTACTTGAGAGAATTGCTGATGGCTGAAATGCTTTATATAGGCCTGACTTGTAACATAAGTATTATTTATTTGGTATCTTCCAGCTCTTTATTAGCTCTTATTTCAATTTTTATTTCCCCATGTCTCATGACATCAAATTTATCCTTTAATGGAAATCGATAGGCTTAGATTATAGGTTAATTAAATTTATCTTCGTTCAATACACAAATTTGATATGTACCATATGAGAATTATTATCAGCAATTTGATTTACTTATTCATGACATAAATGAAGTATATTTTAAATGTAATTATTTTTCTTAAAAAATGCGTTTCTTTTACGATATATTTTGCTGATTTGAGTTTTAATCAATTTTGTTTTAAAATGATTTCTTTTGCCAATATGTTTAGATTGTTTTTATTGAAATGTTTTCATTTTCTTTAGCACCAGTGCAGCCTTAGCTTACACCAATTCAACAAGTACTGGTGCAGGTGATACTAGAAGTTATAATAGTCAGCCCAGTACTATGTATGTATAATTCTATGTTAATTTTGTTTTATAGTGCTACTTTTGTTAAACTTTTTTCAGAATCTCATTAAAATTTGTAATAATGAAAAATGAATAATGTTTATATTGTGTTTTATTTGTCTATAATCTGTTTATATTTATAATTTATGTAATAAGATAGAATTTTTTACTTTAAATTGCATGATTGTAAGTAATCTCTTTTTTTTGCTGATAGTTATTATTTTTGTTTTATTGCAATAAAGCTAAGCTTATTGAAATACTCTAAACATTACCATTTTTTTTTTTTTTTTTTNCCCATTTTTTTTTTTTTTTTGCGAAAGCGCCACAGCACTATAGAAAAAGTTGTTTTTTGTGCATGCAACGCTTCCGACCAAATATTTTTTGGTAGCATAAAAAATTTATTAAAAATTTTTTTTACAATAAATTATTTTTTGAGACAAAACTTTATTTAAAATATTAATAATAAAGTCGATGACATTTTTGCCCTTATCGTGATCTGCTGCAGTACAATCACCAATTCTTATCAACTTGCGGCAACGATCTACAAGAGAATATATAAACACAATAATATTTTTAAAAAAACAAAAATCGCATAAGGAAGTCAATTTGAAGGGTATGTATCGTGTATCCACCCCCATCTTAATGAAAGATCGCTAGCTAGAAATCCACATAAAGCTTTGGCAATTGTAATTGGAGCGAACAGATAAGGAAGCCTTTTTCCCCCAACCCCTTTAAATATAACCGATTGATTCCCCTAAGCAGCTCGAGTAGAAATGACAAGCGAAGGAGGTGGGGTATACACCCCTCTTTTTGACAGTTTCTTTTCTCTTTCTAAGCTGAGTCTTATTGCATTATCTTCATTAAACAAGAGGGCATTCTGGCCATTAAAATTTCTCCCCCAAAGATTGTTAAAGTGAAACTCGTTTCCGCATCACTCATTCCTTTGGAATTTCTTTTGGTGAATCAGACTTTATTCGGTGGAATCGGCATTAATCAAACTATTAAAAAGGTTATACTAAAATGCACTACTTGAAATTAGAATGATCAGATTAAACACAGTAGGATTTTAAAAAATGTTAGGGAAAACTATTAAAAAAAACATATGCAACAAAGTATGCAAATTAGTCTGAACCAAAAGTGTCAAAAAGTGACGGATCAAACGGAAATTCGCTTTTTGTAATTATATAATATTTATAATTACAAGGAAAAAATCTGTGTCTCTAACGCTGTTAAACGAAGGGGAAATGCGGTGAAATCAACATTAATTTAGTGCATTATAGAGTTAATGCTAAATTTTGTGATTTAAAATTAGCATTATTGTAATAAAATTGAAGTAAAAATAACTGCTTTATTAGTATTGTGGAAATCCATTGCACAGGGTTCCCACGGTCCTTGAGAGTCCTTGAAAGTCCTTGAATTTTTTGTGTGCTAAATTTAGGTCCTTGAAAGTGCTTGAAAAACGTCTTAGGTCCTTGAAAAACTTGATAGGTCCTTGAATTTGTCCAATACTACCGGCGGCCCTTTTTATAAAACACCCGCGATCTTTCTCGTTCTTTCTGTTTTGTTCCCGAGCTCTCTCACGTGGTTTTTAACGCCACCGTTTCTAACCGGGCGTAGCGTCTTGGTGTCTGCCAAGCGCGCGGAGCACAGCAGACAATCAATGCGTTCGGGGCGAGACTCCACTTCATCTTCTGTCGCATATGCTTAGATCTTCTTTTTTCTTATCGAAACTGGAATACTCTCGAATTTCGTAACAATATGTACCTTGTAGTTTTCAATAAATTTGCCGTTTTACCNAGCGTTTTTAAAACCCAATATCGCGATTTGTATTTAAACGTTTTTAAAACCCAATATCGCGATTCATATTCCCGCTAGTTTAAAATCCAATGTCGCGATTCGTATTCATATATATTTTTAAATTTCAATATTGCGATTCGTTATCACGCGGTTGTAATATCAAACATCGATTTTCGTATTTATACGCGGTTTAAACATTACTCGTTGCGATAAGTATTCACGGACTCTAAAAATTATGCATCGTGATTCTTATTTACGCGATTTAAAAATTCAATACCGCGATTTGTATTTTCGTGCTTTTAAAATCCAATATCGTGATTCTTATTCACGTGATTTTAAAATTCAATATCGTGATTCTTCACGCTATTTTAAAATTGAACATCGCGATTCTTATTCACGCGATTTTAAAATCAAACATTGTGGTTCTTATTCACGCGATTTTAAAATCCAATATCGCGATTCTTATTCAAGCGATTTTAAAATCCAACATCGCGATTCTTATTTACCCTATTTTAAAATCGAACATTGCGATGCTTATTCACGCACTCTTAAAATCCAACATCGCGATTTTTATTCACCCTATTTTAAAATCGAACATCGCGATTCTTACTCACGCAATCTTAAAATCCAACATCGCGATTTTAAAATCCGGCATCGCGATTCTTTTTCAAGCGATTTTAAAATCAAGCATCGCGATTCTTATTCACGCGATTTTGAAATCCAACATCGCGATTCTTAATCTAAGGCCTCTAAAAATTGTGTGAGAAATGAACTTTCTTGTCCTATAAACACTGATGATCAAAAGTCTGCAAAACGCAGTCTACAGATCAGTCATGTTAATAAAAGACCATAGAAAAAACAAAGAACTGATGAGAAAGTTCATAAAGGTCCTTTGACCATTAAAGAAATGTTTTTTAAAATGACGTGATACATAAAATCTTGCTTATGCATAATTACTCAAAGTTATCAAAATTATTTAAATCAAGATTTTATTTAAGAACATAATTACCATTTATTTATATTTATTTGAATAGATAATAATGTAATCATTATCAGATTGGCTATTGAATTCATATAATTTTTTCTTTTGCATGTTTAATGCTGCAGNAATTTTTAAAATTGGTCTTAGATTAAGGTCCTTGAAAATTTTGTTGAGGTCCTTGAAAAGTCCTGGAAAGTCCTTGAATTTCAATCTCATCATAGAGTGGGAACCCTGATTGCATTATCAAGACCACAATATCATGGGATTATCACAGATTGAGCATGTCAAAAGCTAATTATTACAAATGTGTAATTTGAAATTTATGTGTCCTAATTAGATCGTAATAAAAATAATGGGGCTAATTAACCAAACTAGCAGTGTTGAAGTATGTAGCAACAACTACCGAAAAAGTTGGAAAATCGCATATTTACGCTGCAATTCAAAATTCATATGTTAAAAAATAGGAAGTTTAAATAAATTCGTGTCTGGTTGTAAAATAATGCTCAATTAAATTTTATTTTAACCGAATTATGATAATCGGGAAAGTAAATATATCACAGAAACAAAGTTAATTATTCTGTTACAAATTGGAATTAATTACGTCACTCATAGAGGTTGTAATACTGTAGTTGATCAAAAATTAGCCTTATCACATCAGATTTTAATAAAAAGTGAAAATAAGAAAAAGACCTCTGTTTTTAAAACAAGCTATTTTTCATTTCTACATAGTTAGTCAAGATTTTTGTATGAAGGAACGAAGAATAGATTTTTTAAAAAAATAAAATAAAATTACACAAAGGAAAAATATTAATTGTTTAATGTTTCAGTTCTTAAGTTCTATAAATTTATGATCTATAATCTTATGACTATAAATCTTTCAAATGAATATGGTGAACTTTGAACAGGATTCATGAAATAAACATTTTGGAAAGATAGGCATGTGCAGCCTGACTTTACAAACTATTTGTACATTCGGAATTAAAAGGATTAGAAATTTTCTCTTTTTATTACGTAGTTTAACTCTTTTTATTATGTAGTTATGCTGAAAGAATTTTTTTTTTACAAGTTATGATTTTATTGCTTATTTTTAGTGCCACAAGAAGTTATGGGAATAGTGGTAGCTATGGAAATTCTAGTTATTCCTATGATTACCACTCAAATAATCAGTCAACTGTTCAGGCTGGCTTATGTGGCTTGAGTAATCTAGGAAACACCTGCTTTATGAATTCAGCATTGCAAGTAAGTTAGTTTTTTTTAATGTAAATAACCAAAAAATTTCATTTTTGTTGTCTCTTCACATTTTAAGTGTATGCTAACATTTAAAAATTTTGTGTCTTAATGTGATCATAGTAAATACTTTTCGCAGTTTTATAAATTTTATTTTAATTCAGCAATTATTTAATACTAGTGGGCTGTACCCCCTGCTCGCTGACGCTCGCCAACCCCCGAAAATTGCTACGCAATCTTATAATCAAAGGACAGGCCGCTCTTCTAAAAACGCTTAGAGAGAACACTTTATTTGTTTTAGTTTGTCATTTGTAATTTTTGAAAGTAATTTGTTTCAAAAAATGTTCGGGTTTTTTTTTTGAACATATATATATGTGTGTGTGTAATGTGTGTGATTTTATTTTTGGCTCTCTGAGAGGTCTGAGGAAAAGGATTATAACATATCTTAGCATATATATTTTTAATAATTAACCTTTATTTCAGTGCATGAGCAACACTCCACCTTTAGCTGATTACTTCCTTCAAGATCATTACTGGAATGAACTCAATAATGATAATCCTTTAGGAATGCAAGGTGAAATAGCTAAATCTTTTGGAGATCTTATAAAAAATATGTGGAGCGGAAACTGTTCCTATACAGTTCCTAGGAATTTTAAGGTGAGTTATAACTTTTTTCAATACTTTGTGATAACTTAGGCAATCTAATGAATGGTTTTATTTTAAATTTCAGATTTTTGGAAAACTTCATTCACTGTTATTAGTAGATGCACAAAGTGCAAAAATAAAAAGGCATTGAAATTGTCATTTTTCTGCTAATAATAATAAAAATTCTTGACCATTTCACAAAAAATAAAATTTTTAAATTCTCGCCTTTTTTAAAAATTTTTAATAATAATTAGCATAGTGTGAGCAAAGGTGGGATGAGTAATCCTTTTTTATTAAGAGAATATCACCCATAAGTTTTTTCTCTTTCCACATTTCAAAAAAAAAAATTTTTTTTTTTTTGCTTATGTAAGTTTTGCTCTTTCTTATCTGACAACTGCAATTTTCTCACTCAAGATCTTCACTAGCAGGATTTCATTTTTATATTATGCATTTCGTTTTCACGTCATGTGTAAATTTTCCTAGAGTTTATTGATGTACTTAATGAACCTGTAATATGTAATATCGATAAATGAACCTATAAGATTGCAACAATCTGCTTAGTCTATTAAAAATTGTTTATGTGCTCCATTTTTCATTTTGTACACTGTCCATAAAAGATTTTCTGTTATATGTATTAAATTATTAAAAATGAAGTAATATTTTATCTTACTTGGATTGCTCATATGTGTAATAATAAAACCTAGTCTTATTTCATTCTTGTTGTCTGACAATTTAATAATTTTATTATTATTATTATAGATGATTGTAGGAAGATTTGCACCTCAATTCTCTGGTTATCAACAGCAAGATTGCCAAGAATTAATGGCTTTCTTGTTAGATGGTTTACATGAAGATTTAAATAGAGTAAAAAAGAAACCTTACATAGAATTATCTGACGCTGATGGGAGACCTGATGAAGTAATAAAAAGTTTTAAAGTTATTTTCTGTTTTTATAAAATCACTTATTAATGTAAAATTATTTTAAGAGATATCTATAATTATGGTTCTGGTTCAGGACTGATTTATTTTATATACCTTATCATGAATAATTTTTTGTTAAGTTTTATTAAAAGTGAAGAAATTAAAAAGTGCTTACTTATTAATTAAACTTCAAAACCTGCCAGATAAGTTATTGTAATGTGAGCATTTTTATAAAAGAAGTGTGTTGGATAGAATCTCAAGATTGAAGTTTGACCTTTATTTTACATAACATTTTGAAAGCTTCAATTATTCAGATTAAAAATTGTCTTTTTCCTAAATATCAGTTAAAATATGATTCAAATTGTATTTATCTTTTAAAACAAATAGATGAGGATTTGTGTAATTATAATGCTTGTAATTTTATGTTTGTCAATTTAAAATTAACATTTTTTTAAATAAATTTTGCCAAAATTAAGCAACTATGAAAGGATTTGCTATTAGTTCCAAAAGTCGAATGAATTGGTGTAATATTTGAATCCTACTGGATTGTGTGATTCCATTTTAAGCTTTAATTTTTATATTGTAAATATAAAAAGTTTTTGAATTTGACTTCTATTGTTTGATGTTTGAGATGGCAAGATAACATGATCAAAAAATTCCTAACATTGCTCTATTCTGTCAGGCAGTGCCTGTTGTTTAAAAAAGGTAAATTCATTTGTAAAACTAATTTTATTTATTAACATTTGGTTCATTCTGTGTTTATTTTAGCTTGTTGCAAAAGAAGCATGGGAAAACTACTTAAAAAGGAATAATTCTATTATTGTTGACACATTTCATGGTCTTCTGAAATCAACCCTTGTTTGTCCTGAATGCAACAAAGTGTCTGTGACATTTGATCCTTTTTGCTACCTTTCCTTGCCTTTACCTTTAAAGAAGGAACGTCAAATAGAAGTTTTATTAGTTACTTTAGATCCTCTCAAAAGACATTTAAAAGTAGGTGTAATATTTTTTTTTATTTTATAAATTTTGCTACTAAAAGTTAATTTTTAGATTTTATAATTTTCTTTTTCTTTGCAGATGAAAGTCACTGTCCCAAAGCTAGGAATAATCAAAGATCTCTGTGAAGCTATCTCCAAAATTTCTGACATTCAGCCTTCAAATGTGAGTTAATAGTTTTTATTTTAAATCCCTAAAGCAGTCATTGTGAAACTTTATATGCTTGAAAAGAAACGTCTTTGATATTTTTAAACATTTTGATTTGATTTTTACACAGTTTAACCCCTTAATGATATTATTTTCAAGAAAACTTTCATAAAAGGGCTTTTTTTTTTCATCCAAGAAAATTATATATTTAAAAAGGGGTGTGTGTACAATATATGTATTCATTTTTGATTTTTGGATTTTTTTTTTTTTTTTTTGAGATTTAGAACTCTATATGTCCATATAACTCTTAACTTCATAACAATATTCAAAAATATCACACAACACAAATCGTGTATTCACAAAGAGCATAATTAGCTGAGCTAAGAGTACTATATACATATATTTAAATAGTGCTGATATCTAGTTTAAAATTAACTATCACCTGTTACATTAAAAATAGTCTGCAGCCATCTGGTAGGAAAATTGAAAAATTATGGCCGCAGGAGATGGATATATATATATATATAAACCTTTTTGGTGCATTACTTTTAAACTCTGTACCAGACATATCATGAACATGAAAAATAGGAGACAAACCCCATGATTTTGACGGAAGCGAGAGAGAAGGGGTTAATAGTACACGCATTACAAGGCATTTTTGAAAAAGATATTAGCTGTAGTTCGTTCAGTTCATATCTATGAAAAAAATATAATGTTCCTTGCATTGTCACATAAGAATAGAATTAATCATTACAAATTTGAAAGATATATTTATGGGATCTACCCATTTAATTAAAAATTGTTCTAATATATCTAGTATAATTTTACTTAGATGCATAGTAATTTTTTTTATTCTGTAGGTTTAGTGAACAACTTATACTTTTTAAGAGCTTTTTTTTTTAAGCCTCCATGCCAATTTTATTAGAAGTAATTTTAATAGGCTAACTTTCATCTTAATCGAAGGTTGGTTAAAAAGGTTAGAATAAAGATTTGTTGAAACGAAGATGCAGTTAAAAATTGCAATCTATGTTTATACTTTTTAAAAAAAATATCTTATGCAAATCAGATATTTTTTACATTTTTATCATTTCCTCCCTGCCAATTTTTTGTGTTTTGTGGCGTTTTTGTCTTTATTAAATGTTATTTTTGTATTTTTTTTTAAGATAATCATACTGTTAGATCATTTAAATTAATTTTTTCTAAAAAATTGTATAATAATTTTATTTTTTTATATTTAAATTATTTTTATTAACAATAACAATGTAGATTACTAAATATTAAAAAAGAATATATTTTATTTTTTGCTGTTGCATTAAATGATTTAATATATAGAGATTTTATATATATATATATATATATATANTAAACGCGAAATATAAAAAAATTCAATGCATTCAATACAAACACTAAACGTTTTTTAGACGTTTAGGTAGCTCCCAGTAGAAAAATATATATATATATGATTAAATGTTTTAATATTGATTGTCCTAAAAAGGTTTTCTTTATTACTACTTCAATTTACTTAAGGAGTTTTGTATATTCTATCCTGATACATGTTAAAGTTGCCGACTTTTTACCCTTTTTTCAAAACTAATTCATTGATATTTGTAAAATTAGACCAATTTAAATAAAAAATATTGGAAATTGTTTGTCATACGATTGATATTAAATCTGAGTAAAAATTTGTAGCAGAAAACTTTTATAAATCTCTTTGTTAAAATGTACACCATAACTAGAACAACACACAAAAGCAAGGAATCTGTATTTCTCAAGAAGAGATCGTCAAATTTGGCAATTTTAACACAGGCTGGTTTAAAACATCTAACTTTTTTTAGAGTTTTTTCCACTTCAAATCAATTAAAATGTGTTTTTTTTTGTTTTTTATAGATGATTGTTGCTGATATCTATAATCATCGACTGCATAAGGTATTCAATAAGGATGAGCAAATAAGTGGTATTATGGAAAGAGATGAAATATTTGTGTGAGTAATTGTTCTCTTTTATTTGACAATTTTTTGATGTTTATTTTAGTACTTTCAGTTGCAAGGGCTCTGAACAAAATTTGAAAACTATGTAGAAATTTTTTTTAGTGTTTTTTAAATTAACACTTAAAAAAAAATAGTTACTGATAAGTACTTTTCTCACTAATATTTTAATTTGCTATGACATATTCTATTTGTGTTAGAAGTAATAATTAGCTTTTAAAAATTTTTTTTAAAAATGTTTTCAAAATATAAAGCAGCTAAGTGTCTTTTCTATTGAATTACACTATTGAGTATCTGCACTATTGAATTTAAATTAAAGTGAATGTTTATTTCTCTTTCAAATAAGTTTTTTTTTACTGCATTTTTAAAACTATTAATTCATTTGTATCGTTAGTTTCCAAAGCTTAGCAGAATCACTGTTTACCCATCTATCTTTTAGCATAGAAATAAACTTTCTTTGAATATTTCATCTTAAAATTATATTTGAAAATTGTTGTGTTAAAAAAGTATCATTATAGAAGTTGATCTCTCTGTAATTGTGAAATGTGCATGTGTAAAATACTTAGAAAGTAGTTTGAATTAAATATATTAAATTGTGATTTCAAATAGCAAATTTTATGTCATCTTTTCATATTTAGGTATGAAACTCCTCCTGAAGTCGATGGAGACAGTTCTTTTATGTTACCAGTTTACCTAAAAGAAAAAAAGTATGATATAAATTATATTTTTCATTATATTTTATAATGGTTTTGTTAATTTGATAAAAATGATACTGCCCTGTTACGGTTGGGTATAGAATAAAAAATGAAAAGTTGCAAAAATGATAACAATTTAGAAAGAAAAAAAACTAAAAATTAATGGCCGGGTGAAACATATAGTTAGTACATTTTTTGAAGTGGTGTCGCAAAACTTTTATAACCCATAAGGAATAGTAGATTTTCTTCTTCAAAAATAAGTTCCAGAAGATAACAAGTATATTCTAAAAAAACATACCTCCTTCTCCATAGAAGCTACCTGAGTCTAGGATGAAACAAACAGAAAAAAACCTTGGCTAGTGAAAATGAATTAGTCCAGTTCTTTTTTTGAAAAAAATCTTTGTTGTTTTATTGGAGAAAAACATGTTAAAAATCATCATATTGAGGCACA